TTGCATTGACCAACTTCGTTACCAGCTGCTTAATCTGCTTCTGCCTCTATTCCGTGATCGACGGATCTTTTGAGGATTCTTTTGATCTGATACGTGCGTGTACGTCTTTCTTTTTAATTGAAGAAGTCTTCTGCTTCTTCTTTGATTTGACGACTTGTATGGGTTGTGCTTTCCGCAGGGTCCTATCGATGTTTGGCTCCTTTGCGAGGCATTAATCCATCTCATGTCCTGGCCTCCTGCATCTGTAGCATAGGTGTGTCTTAACTGGAAGGCTCTGTACTCATCGCATTCATCGTGTTCTGTCGATGTCCATTGCATTGGGATCATCTATATCCATCGAATCTTCTTTATCCATTGAATCGCCCTGATTCGCATGTGTGATGAAATTGAAGATATTGCTTTTTTCCTTATGGACGTTTCGAAGGTCGTTGATTTGTCTTGCCAGGTTACAGGCATCCTCATATGTGGTTGGAGGATTAGAGATGATGAAGACTTTTTCAGCCAACTTTAGATCCAAGCCTCGCTTGAAATGGATGAGTTTGGTATAGTCGTCGTCGATTTCAGCATAGCGGAATAGGATGTCGAGATTCCCAATGTAATCATCGACCTTTCCTTTCTTCTGCATACACCGATTGTCGAGTAACGTTTGCCATGCTTGGTCTTTGGTTGCGACTCCTCCATACTTTTCTTGGAGTGTCATCCGAAAGTTGCGATAAAGTCCTAGATCATTTGATCTTCCTGTATGTGCGATCATCGCTGCTTCCCACGATTCGACCCATTTTGCTGCTGCCGAGCCAGGTTCGAAGTGAGATAGGATGAACGTTATCTGACTATAGTCATCATCGTATATGTGAATGTTTGCCTGGAGATGTCATTCTACCGCTTGGAGGAATGACGTAAATGTTCGTTTGTCTCCTGCAAATGGTCAGATCTCCCCTAGCTGTAGTTCCTCCTTTTCTGATTCTGGTAGTACAGAATGGTACTGCGTGTATATCTTCATTTTCAGGAGATATTCCTGCCACTGGAATTCTGGACATGTCAGTCCTGGATGCACTGGTGGTCCACTTGCTGGATCATATCATGCTTTGATGGGATTTTGACTAGTAGTTCCCAAACTACTTGTTTGCGCCATGGCCGACTGTGGCCTTATTGGTACTCCAAATGGTGTTACTGACCTTCCTCCTTTCCAGGACATCCTGGTTAACGGTGTCGTTCTGACTCCTTTCCATAATCCTAACCCATCATAGGGTTTCTTGGATGTTGGCGTAGTGCTGGAGTCGCCACTTTCTAGTAAACTTGGATTGATGCCAAGAGGATTCCATTCCTCCTGATCTTTATCCTTGTTTGATCTTTCGACGTCCTCTGACCTTGGATCGACTTGTATTGCTTCTCCCCTAGGAAGGTCTGTATGCATATGCATCAGAAATTCGTCCTCGAAATCCTTTGCAATGTCCTTCCTATTATTGATTACCCGTCGAATTTCTTCAACATCATTTTCGAGCTGTCGCAGCTCCTGCTGCTCTTCTGGGGTTGTAAGGTTCCTGTCACAAAGCACCAAAGCACTTAACCCAATTAAGGGCAAGTCTGCTTTTGTGACCTGCACAAATGATCTCACATAAAAAGCCTGCCACAAGGGCTAGGCTGAGGACGCGCGCAGTGGTATGCAGTCTGAAAATGGGGCTCAAAGGGCCCTTAGCCTTATGCTCATAACAAAGGGGTGAATTGGCTTGTTAGGCTGCATGCAATAGAATAATGAATCTAAGGTCTTCCCTTAGATCCTCATGTGCTTATATACATGTAGTGGTGGACCCTGGGTACCCTAACTATGGTGTACTTACTGGGGTCCTGTCCTGTCTACATGTGAACATATTGCCAAAACCAGTAATGGTTCTGGACTTTGCTATAGCAACTATCTGTAAAGGTCGTGGATACGCCAAGGTAATCCTACTTTACCCAATAAGATAATTGCCTGAAGGTGGTGCCACTATTTGAGCAGCTGAAGTGGTGCCACTTATTGAGTGGCCAATGGGGCTCTGCCATAGCGCATATTCTAATGCTGGTGCTACTATTTGACAGCCATGTAGTTGGTGCTGCTATTGAGCAGCGAATTGGGTGCTTGCTAGCTTGATGGTCCAATGAGCATAGGTAAGCCTATTGTGGGCCAAAGAGTTCCATTCTGGGCAAGTGGCCTGGTGTCACGTGACCAATGCCTGATAACTTCCGAATAGGGCAAGTGACCAGTGTCACGTGACTGGGTGGCTGAATCATGGGCGCTTGATGGTTATGTGGTAGACACAGTCATATCCACGATGTATGTGGTGGTATTATGCTGTTTGTCTAAGTATCCACTTTGTGAGACCAATATAAAGGTTGGCATCCAAATAATCACTTGTGGTTGCGAAATGATGACTTTATTGGTGCAAAAGGAAAGGTGCCACTTAATATTGTGACAGTTCCCCAACCTTTGCCGTTTTCGCAGCACAATAGCTCGCATATTTCTGTCATCTTCGAACCAATCTAATTCTTCATTGGTTGCATCGTTCCATGACAACGGCATCATGTATCCTTTGTCTCCTTGATAGCCTACTGGCTCGTCGTCGGAGTCTGATTTGTATCCTGGGTTCTCTCGATACGACATCTTATCTTGTCCTTTTGACCACACTGGTCCGTGTATCCACACATATTCTTTTGGGTAGTCACACAGACTACCACTAGTTCCTTAAATCTTCTAGATTTGCCTTCCCTGGGAAGGGCTTTAGCACATCTTCTACATGTGCCTCAGTTGAGGGCTTCTCTTCTAGATTACCACACAGGTAACTGCTAGTGCTTGAGTTCGATCTGAAAAATAACCACACAGATTCGATTTGACCACACAGATTCTCTTCTCCATCGTACTGAGGTATCCACACAGTTTTAGGTTGATCCACACAGGTCCTTCGCAGCCTTGACAGATTTGGTTTTCTGTAGCGTCCAAGTAGACACCACTTCTCGTAAGTGGTTCTAAACCTAAACAGGTTGACCTATAGAAAAACCTCTTCCAAATGTTATGAAGCGTTCCCTGTTAGAATGTTCAGAACCACGTGTGCTTTCTCACATGTACTAGTTCACAACGCAGACAGAGACTTAGATATGGAATATACCTAACGCCTCCAATAGTTACACAGACTATTAACAGGGTTTATAGTGTTGTCAATGCCTAGTAGATGATGTAGCAGTGAGGTCCTCACTCTACCCTTGCTAGGCCTTGGCTGCTACAGCTACTGCATGTTCACCCGCAGGTTACTAGGTTCGCTGTTCTGACTCTAGCAAGCATACGAGCTTACTACCTCTTGAGAGTGAGTACGATTGCACAAGAGTTCTAGAACTGAGAACATTCAGAGTCACAGGTAGAAGAGGTTATCTTTCAGCTGCTGCTCTGCCCCTTTATATAGTCGCAGACCTATAGTCTGGGGTACTAGTACAAGGGGTCCCATTATCCTAAAGATAGGTGAAACACACCGGAGCTTAGCTGCTGCGAGCCAGGTAATTGGCGAGCTAAGAAAAGCATAGGTGAAATACCTGAAATATGAAATGAGAACCAAAGTCCTAGAACACAGATTCTGGGGTTAGGACTTGAGAACTCTGGAAGTTATCCTCGGTTACATACATAGTGACTGATATCACCTGACCATGATTGGGCGTCTCTTCTAGGCGCTTGTTCATGGGGATCACGTGACCACGAGCAACGGTATGTTTCGTAACAGCACCCATTTGGGAACAAAGGGAACAAGGACTATTGTTCAGGATTGTCTAGGCAATCGGCTCAAGGTATAGCCGTTACCACGATAGGATGGATCGTCTCACAGTTGATACCGATGAAGACGGATCTTCTCACCTATTGTTCTGCTTACAGATAGATCTTCTCACTTATTGTTCCATGTATAGTTTAGTTGCCTAGATACGTAGATAGCCAATCATCTATGTTGTAGTAGTGGTACAATGAAGGTTACATAATCAGGCTCCTGTACATGTATATAAGATCAGCATGTAGAGGACGAAACTTCAGATTGTTTCTCCTCGTCTACCACTGTAGCATCCACTGAGCCTACCAGCTCCACCATATATCTTTCACCCTTCCATACGCTTGCTTCACCAACAAGTAAGTGTTAGGCTCTCAAGTCACTTTAGGGATCAGGGGGGTCAGGGCGGCACGTTCCACGTGACCGTTCCTTTTTTAGTCTTTTTGATCTCTTATCCAGTGGTGCTGTGACAGCCGAATGGAGGCTGAATTGTGGCATCACGGCAATGTGATGATTTGCATGACACCTGCATGGAGGATCATTGCATTGGTGTTGTGAGCCTTTTCACCTCTCGAGATTGCTCAATTCACCTTGAACGAGCCCTTAAAAAATCATGTCTCTGACCAAGAACCATAGCTTCCTATCCCTTAAAATCTGGAAGCCATGCAAGGGGAAATGGGTGAAAGGGAGCGCAAACGGTGAAAAAATTGTGTTGATGGACCAGTGATAGTATGCCATTATCACCATGAAATATGTTGCTTTGGTCCTTTGCCTTTAGAAACTGAATTTGTCACTGTGGCAAATGACATTGGATATTATGAATTTGAAGCTTGATTTGCAATGGCTTCAAATTATATGCACAGATTTTGCCTAAGCCTCTTCTACAAGTCCGAAACATTGCATACAAAATGTAGCATTGTTGCAAATGTACATCTATGTATATTCTTTGTTCTGAGGGAAAATTAGCCAATTTGTGGTACTAATCTCAACCCTGCTATATTTTGTAAGCAATATTTATAATCTCCGGCTTGAGGCCAAGGCAAAATATATGGCATCATTTGTAGCTGTTTCAACTTGAGGCCTTAAGTAAGAATATGCAACACCATTTGTCACACCGGTAAATTTATTTCCTAAAGGCAAAGGATCAAATCAACATATTTCACAGTGGTAAATGGTATCATGTCTGCAGTGTAGTTTCATTGAGCCAGCCGGACTCGGACTGATTGACGCGCGAGTGGCTGAAGATAACGTTCGTTTCAATCCTGTGTACTCGCCACTCACGCGAGTTCTCAGAGACTAGGGGGGTCTAAACTCAAGCAATTTTGGGCACTGGCCAGCGCAATGTCTCTCATCGACGCTGCTCGCAAAGCTGAGGACGCAGAAGCATTCTTGAAGAGCCTTCCGATAATGTACCTGCCCCCATGCATGGCAACTCCGATCACGCATAACTAATAAGCCGAATCTTTATGCTAGAGATCTGAGCAGCGTCTCGAGTAACGATCCTGCAGTGCGGAAAGCCCTTAGTTACGCTGTACGAGATGCGTGCGTGAATGTCGGGTTCTTCTATGGTATGTGTGGTATTGTATGCTGTTAAAGCTGTTTCAAGTGATACTATCTATGGTGCACATTCAGTGCGGAACCATGGCATTCCCGAAGCCACAATCGAGCACGCTCTATCAGTCGCAAAAGAATATTTCGCTCTACCAGTTGAAGAGAAGCTCAAGGCAGACCATTCCTATTGCTTATAGTGCTATCCCAATAAACGCCCATATCACAGCTTGACATCCGGAACACGCCTAATTTTAAAGGTTACAATCCCATCCTGAGCAGCAACAATGATCCAGAAAATGATGGGGACCTGCATGAAGGCTTCGAGTTCAGCTGGGAAGAGCTACAAGCCAAAGCGAAGAACGAGAAGCGAGTTAACGATGGAGCGATGGCGGGAGCAAACGTCTGGCCGGAGGAACTGGCCGGTTTTCGTGAAGCAGCGCTCACCTACTAGTCAGTGTTTCATATAAAGGACTAATGCATCAGTTCATATTTTGACTGCAGTCATGCCGCTGTCGAGCTAGGCAAGAAAATGTTCCCTCTGTTCGCTCTAGCATTGAATCTTCCAGAGGACTACTTCGATGATAAGGTGAAACCAGCCACATCAGCAGCATAAATGATGTACGATGTCTACTTTCCAGACGAAGAACTCTGCCGCCATCATGCGTGTCCTGCATTACCCGCCTCAGACAGGCCCGGTGGACGACCGCGTCATCGGTATCGGCGCGCACACTGAGTAAGCCACACCTGTCTTGACCTATTGTTTTAGTTTCCTAGCGTTATATCTGCAGTTTTGAGGTCAGCTTATTTGGCGATAGGAGGTGACTGATTCTTGCCGCTCACGATGTGCAATGCAGTGTTTCACCATATTATGGCAAGAACCCGGCATCCAAGCCTTGCAAGTTCTGAACAAGCAGAAGCAGTGGATAGATGCGCCGCCCATCCCCGGTACACTTGTCATCAAGTACGTTCCGAACTCTCCCTCGGCGCCCCTCTGCTCACATCGAATTGCATCAGCCTCGGCGACCAATTTGCTCGGTGGACGAGTGGGTCATCAGACAAAGTTATGCGTTGAACGGAATGAGCTGACACTTGTGCAGATGATGTCTTCAAATCGACCGTGCATCGTGCGATAAACCGCAGCGGCGTCCGTCGCTATTCAATCCCGCTCTTCTTTGGCACCGATTATGATGTCAAGCTCGAGGTGCGGTGTTCGACAAGCTATGCTTGCAGATCATTGAATTAAGAGCTTGTAGCCGATTCCGAGTTGTATCTCCGAAGACCGGTCACCCAAGTACGAAGTGGTCACCGCCGGGGACTACGTCAAGGAGAGGCTCAAGGCTACTTATGGTCACTGACGTCGGCGTTGCTCTTCTGTAGGTATTGGTACGGATACAAACTACCCGGAAGGCGAAGTGTTAACTTATGATCAAAACCCGGATTGACAAGAAACGAAATAATGATGATCACACCGAAGACTGGCCTCAACGTGCAGATTCCCGGACATACGGCGTCACGAGCAGAGGACATTTGCTACCCTCCAGATGCTTGCCCACCACGTACGGCCTTGTCAGCACACTGCGTTTACAAATCAGAACCGGTGGTCGTGTAAGTCTAGGAGAAGATTACGTACACGTTGGCCTTGCCGACTTTCTCGTCGCTCTCAGCGAACGTGAAGCTTGTAAGGAGAATAAAGAGGAATGTCTTCATCTCGATAACGGAAAAGCGCATGCCTATGCACGACTAACGTCATGTCAGCGACTTGTTCACTAAGTGATAATATTATGAAAATAGCACTTACTCTTGGTCCAGCCGAAAACGTGAGAGTGTTGTTATACAAACCAGGCTGTGACTTCACGGCTTCAGGGAGTTTATCCCAACGATCCGGGCTTGTCCAAAAGTCAGTATTGGCGAGCTGGAAGGTCGAGGGGTCCACATACTTAAACGCCCAACCGTCAGTTCCCCATACCTCTCTATCTAGGTTGAACCCCTCCACAGGTACATGGATGAGCGCCCCCTTCGGCACTCTAATGCTCATCACCTCCTGCACGCTCCCATCTGGCATGCGCGTGCGCACAGGCACGCTTGTCGGCAGCACGCCGTCCCGCGTCGCTACGCGGATCGACGAGTGCACGGGCGGGATAAGGCGCAGTGTCTCGCGCATGACGTTCTCGAGGTATGGCAGTTCCGCGACGGCGCTGTACAGCGAGACGACTTCGTCCGACGTGAGCGTGGAGAGCGGCGTGGGCGGTGCGACAGTTAGGAGCTCGTGACGGAGGCGGGTCTGGATGGCGGGGTACTTGGCAAGGAGGTAGAGCATCCAGGTGATCGCGAGCGAGCTTGTGTCCGAGCCGGCGAACATGAAGGTGTTGATGTTGTGGAGGATATCTTCGTCGGATATGCGTTGTTCCGGAGGAAGATCTGCTGCACCGTTCGACTTCACTGTAAGAATGAATGAGTGAGAGGAAGAAAAAGAGGCGAAACCAAGGCATACGGAGCAAAGTGAGCAGGTCCTTGCCCTGATAAATGCTTCCGCTCCGTTCAGCCTCCGCTATTTTATGCTTTTTCTCCTGTACAAGTTGACCTGCGACGCGACGGATCACTTCCTGACATGTCTGCACAGTCAACGCGGCTTTATCCGGCTGAACCAGCAGGTCAGATGAGTGATGCAGTGACAATGATGCACGTACAAAAAGAGTGTTGATGAATGGGAAGTGTAGGGTCACGAGACCGCGGAAAGAACCCTCTTGTTGCGAAACGCCGATTTCAAACATCTCTTTGTATGCGCTGAAGAGCTCGTTTGTCTCGTCCTGAATGGCATTGAATTTGTAATCGAAGCCTACATCAGAGCCAGTTTCTGATGTGAGCAGGAAAAAGACATAGACATCCGCAACGTACCCGCTGATCCTATGACATCAAAGGTAGCCCGGCTCACCCAATGACACACGTCAAGCTTTGCACCGTTCATCGCCTTCTCACTTGTATCGTGGCTCTGTGATTGCGCGATGAGTTCTGCCCATCGTTCCTTCAACTCATTCCCCTTCACGAATACAAGTGGGACCAAGGCACGCATGTTCTGTACAGAGAATGCCGGAGTGGCCACCCGGCGTTGTCGCTTATGCACCTGACCTTCTGCTGCAAGCATACCGCATCCAATGAGGCCGATAATAAGCCGGCGGGAGTGCCATGGTTTCTCATACACGTGCGAATTCTTCATAACGTGCGAGAGGGTAACGGGGTCAAGAGTGAAAAGGCGTTGATCCCACTGCAAATTGAATATCGATGAGGGTAGGATGGGGTCTCATGCAGGGAGTGAACGCACAGGCAAGATGCCTCGAATCATCACATTTCGTCCGTACTGTTTCACGAATGCCTCCTGGACTCGAGGTGAGATGGACGGGCTGTAGACGCACTCAACTCGTCAACGTCTGGAAGAGCAAGCAGTGTACAGTGCACCCGTTTCAAGCTTACTTCGTAACAAGACCTAGTTGGTCCTTGAATAGCCCCGTGCTAGGCGGGCCAGGCAGATTTCTGAGCGGATTGAACCATGGCTCGACGAAGGCTAGGTAGACGAAGAAGACGAAGAGTGTTGTCAGAACGGCACAAAGAATGCTGACAGACAACGTAGACAGCTTGTACTCCATCGTCAGAGGAGAGCTCAGAGTGAAAGCGGCCTTCAGCTCCCACTGTTTGATAAGTGATCCCGAGAACAATAACAATAAGGGGGTCTCATTGATCCCAAGAATCCAGGTTGACCTTGGTCTGTCCAGACAAGCATATCGTAGACAGAGATAAAGTTCATAAGACGGAAATTGCACAAAAGACACGGCAGACATTATCAGTGTGAAAAGTAGCGTGGGAATGTCGGCTGATGTCTTACATTTGTGGCAAAGGCTTGCCAATATAGCATTTAAATGGCAAATAGTGCACATTCACAGCCAAAGTAAAACATTTTTGACATGAAATGCCATGGTTGCAAATATTTGTCGCGCGTGTAAGAAATCAATCCACATTTAGACACAATTTTCCACGTTGATAAATCGCACCATGTCTGCCGTGAGACCTGCGCGACAACATGTCGCCGGCGTCGTGATCAAGAGGACTTTTCGGAGTCGTCCACAACTGGAGCGCGCGCTTGAGCAACGGCATTGTAAGCGCCCGCTTCTGGCATAAGCGCCCGTCCACAGGCGCAGGACGCGTGGTATCCACGTGGCGACCGCGTCATCACCACGTGACCGAGATTCACGATTTCAGCGGAAGGGTCGCAGAACTCGAGTACCATCTCTCCCATCGACCACCACGTTCTTCGCTATTTCTGCGTCTGGCGACTCCAGCGATGTCTCTGCATTTACCTGCGGATCAGTTGTATCTATCGGGATCTGAATCGGACCGCACGCAATCTTCTGAGGATGAAGGGGAAGAGACCTGGGAAGACTGGGTCTCTGATTCCATGGATAATCGACCGTGCAAGTCACTTTTTGACTACGAGAAGACGTTTACGTCCGTTCCAGAAGCTATGAACCACGACAAGCTCGTTCACGGAGTGGATCTGGATGCGATTTGCTCTCGGCTGGGTGGGTCTAATTCCCGCGTTCGTGTGTATCCTGCATAGACAGGTTCTTCCTGCTTCCATTTTGCCTGTACTGCTTCCCACCAACTCTATGGCCCGTGATGTTGCGTCATGACTGTATCGTGCCCGTTGTGGATTTCGCACGCAACGGAGATGAATGGAAGTGTCAAAAATTGTCTCACAGACAAACATGCCTCAGCTCGGACGTCGTCCAGATGCTCACGATGGTGGGACCGTGATGTGAGCACTCAATATTAACTGGATTGACACGACGTTCTGCATGCTGCCACATCTTTACATGAGGAGTGTTCTCTTTGTGCGAAGGTCATTGCAAATTGATTGCCGAACGATGGATATGCTCAGTATATGTCTCTTTTTTCCTTGGTGCCACCGATACATTAGGCTTAGTGCTTTTTGCCTAAAGGACACATACGCGGTTATGACTGCGGTCTACAGCACCCGTAACTCATGGCCGGGACTGTTCTGACCACGAGCGAGAATTTCTAGTCCGGGGGCTTGTTCGGTCGGTCGTGTATTCATCTATGTTCAGTGAGAATGCGCTCTATATCAAGATCAATGCTCATCTATTCCTTCTAGCTCTTGATCCGTATCAGCGAATTCGTTTGGTCAACTGGATAAGAAAGGAGGTGCGTCCTCAGATGCTCGCGATTTATAACGGACCACTGACTTTCACTCAGAAACCCGCGCCGTCTGAGGTCCTCGCATTGAAAGGAGACGAATCGTTCTTCTCATCAGATGAGTACCTCATTCCTGTACTGGAGGATGACCCATTGCTGCGTGAGTCCTCGAAGGTCTGCAATGTCCTGCAATCATTGACGATGGAACACTATTGCAGAGACACAGTCTGCGGCATGGTCGGATTCCGAGGATGAGCAATCCCCACCCACCGACCTGGCAACCGCTATACGTCGTATCCATACTCTCGAGAAGAAAGTGCAGCAGGCGAAGCAGGACTTGGCAGAGTATCGCGCCTTCGTCGGCGAGCGACTGAGCCAGTCTGCATTTGGCGAAGTCCTAGCAGACCGTGTTGCATCATCTTCAACCACTCATGTTGCAAGGCCCCTGCGTGACGATGACTCCCACTACTTCCAAAGCTACGGCGAGAATGGTACGAGATCGTCCTGGTCTATCTCACATTTTGCTCACGTTCTGATCGTTCTCGTAGACATACACTCCATCATGATCCAGGACAAAGTGCGCACAGCGACGTACGCAAAGTTCATTATGTCCAGCACCGAGCTTTTCCGCGACGCGATTGTTCTCGATGTCGGCTGTGGAACTGGCATCTTATCCCTCTTTGCTGCGCGAGCAGGCGCAAGACGCGTGTTTGCTGTTGATGCAAGTGACATTGCGGACAAGGCACGACAGATTGTCAAGGACAACAAGCTGGACGATGTCATCACGTCAGTGTCACTATCTGCACGTTATCGTGGGACGCTCATCATATCTTTGCTCTTCACACCTTCAGGGTCATCCGCGGCAAGATTGAAGACATTAAATTGCCTGACGACGTCAAGCATGTCGATGTGATCATCTCTGAGTGGATGGGATACGCATTACTCTATGAATCTATGTTAGATTCGGTGCTACGTGCGAGAGACAGGTTCTTGGACCCAGAGCAGGGTGTTATGGCCCCTAGCCAATGTAGGATGATGCTTGGTCTTTGCGAGGCTAGCGAGGTCTTCAAGGAACGCGTTGGCTTCTGGAGTGACATCTACGGTATGTAAGATTACCACCGGCGAGCCGGGTCAGCCCATAATGCTCGCACAGGTTTTGATCTATCGGCGATGGGGAATGACGTCTATGAGGATGCAATAGTCGACGTTGTCGGACCCGAAACTATGCTCAGCGAATATTGCATGATCAAAGTCAGTCGGGCTAGATGCTATCAGTGAAAGCGAATCTGATCTGACTGTCTTGCCGCAGGATCTCTACCTCCCGAACATCAACCCCAAACAGCTCGACTTCTCTGTACCCTTCAAGTTAGTCTCTATTGCCGACCGGCGCACGAAGGTGCATGCTCTCCTCGTGTACTTTGACGTCTTCTTTGCCGAGGACGGGCAGCCCGTCCCACCGGACACCGAGGCATATGTCGTGCGTGAGGGTGACCCGGTCCTTGCGGAGGTCTGGCCGCTGGGGGGAAGGCCTCATCCATCGCGGAGGATGAGCTCCGGCGAGGGTCTTCGGGGCAAGGTCAGGCCGAAGGTTACAAGCTTCAGCACGGGCCCGCAGTCCATGCCAACACATTGGAAGCAGACGATCTTCCTGCTGAGGGACCCTATCACCGTGCACGAAGGTCTGCTTGCTTGTGGACTTCGGGAGAGTATACTATTCTGACTTTGGGCGCTCCATAGGGACGACCGTGCACGGGACCTTCAAGTGCCGGAAGAGTGAAGGTAACTCGAGAGAGTTGGACGTTGAAATCCACTATGTCGTCAAAGCTCCAGCAGATGAGCAAGCTATAGGCGACGCTGTTGTGCAGATGTACAAAGTGCGGTAATTTATTGCAGCATCACACATGCAAAGAAACGGACAATGCAAATGTTGTAGTACTCATATTTCACTATGAAATAGAGCAGGTGCTTTTTTGTGTAAATTTGGGAGGCTTGGCCATGATGTAGTGAGCGACATAGGTTTATAGTAGTACTACCGGTGAATACGATCTTCTCGAGAGTTATACAGGACCTACCGATACACAGATCAGCTACATGAATACATGTTACAATTGAAATGCTTCTAGCTAGCTTGGACTTTTCTGCAATAAGCCTTCCAATCGCTCTCGCAAAGCGTCACCCCCGTGCTGCTGTACGAAAGCCAATCTCGACATCTGCCAGTTGCCCTCCTGCGAATAGCAAGCAGGGGGAAGGAGGATTGTGCCTTCCTTCGCTTGCCTATAGCGCACTACTTCGCGGACCACCTCCAATCCAGTCTGGTCAACGACCACCAGGAGGAGCTTTTCCGCTTTTTCATCTTCTCCCTCGTGAAGATCAGGCCAGATATTGCATGCGATATGATGGATTGCTATCAGACGGACGAATCCGTCCAATGAACCATTCATAAGGGCGCGTAAATAAGCGGTGATCATCTGCGTATCTGTCTCAACCGGCCAAAGATATTCGCCCAAATTAGCCGTGATGACTGCCTCAGGAGGCGCACGGATGGTCTTTACTATGTGGTTATAGTCGGCCCACAGGTGCTTGCGAAAGTCTGGAGGATACCGCATTGACACTGGTGGCAGGAGCAGGCGAGCAAACAGAGGGTGCGAGAAGGATATAGCATCGTACAAGCCCACGAAATCAGTGTAGAACTGATAGAATGGCGTCGACGGCCCGAGGAAGCGAGCTGCTATCGACTCTAAAGTTGGCTGCGCAAATGTGTCCGAAGCTGGGGGCAGCGAGAGCGATGTCGTCGAAGCAGCGGCCACAAATGGGGTGACCAAATCTTCCATGGCCTGCTCAACGAGCCTATCACGGAAGACTTCCTCCATTGAATCGTTTTGCTGTTGGCCATGCTCCAGCATGAAGACCTTCATGCACGCAAAAATAGTCTCCTCGCGGTTCATGACGAAGTTGTCCAGCGAATTAAGGTGCAGCACCTCACGGCCTATTCTCGCTAGGAGCAATGTGGCCCTGACAACCTCTGTTTCCGATGCATCCCACCACGATGGCATAGATTTGAAAACCTCGGACTCGCCCGAACGCAAGAGGTGATCAAGAGGACTGAACATCCAATCTCGAGGTAGAGGTAGTGGGACTTCGCGTCGACTGTCGGGAGAAACAGTCGGTGCAGGTGGCAATCTCTGAGTCGTAGCGGTCGAGATCGAGTGGGGAGACATCCAAATAGGACCAACGCAAAAGTCGTTCTTCGGCTGAAGGGCGAACGTCAAGAAGGGCTTTATCACCTTAAGACCGCCCTTCGCCCAGATCACGGGAGGGACGTTCCATCCGCGGGGGTTCACGAATTCAGGCGTGACTAGGTCCACCATCTCTGAGACGGCATGCTGGGCCAGCTTCTCGTCGCCAGGCATCAATCTGCAGAGGATAGCGAACGCCTGGGCAATCCAGAGGTCTTCGGTCGTCCCGGGTACCTTCCGAGACAGCTCCAGATAGCACGCCAGCAGCCTCGACAGTGGTCTGCAAAATACGTGGGCATATGAAATTGATCCTTGCGCGAAGATAGATTGCCAAATCGCATGCGTTGTAATCCGGGCGCATAGCTCGGAGAGCTGGGCAAATGGTAATAGGAAAGGGGAAGACTCCAAAGGTCCAGGTATATGGGACGGGACGCACGAGAGCCAAAGCCGCAGCGCAGCCGCAAGGACATCTGCATGCTCCGCAAGCGTCTGGAGATGTAATATGTCTGTGACCAAAAGGGGACGAGCGCCGTCTTTGCCCAAATCCGCTAGCACATTGCTCAATATCGCGCCGGATCTTTCCACTGCGAGCTTCTCTGGGCCATCCTGGAAGCCATCACGGACGGCGAGGACGACAGCCGCTCGCTCGTCTTCGCCACTCCGCATCCCATTCACTCTTGCGCCTTCGAGCCACGCAGCTTCTGCTCTCCACAGAGCCGCCCATAGTAATGTGTCCTGCTCTGTCAGTCTTCCTTTCATCTCCGCGATGTCGTCGGGCCAGCCCCACCCTACGACCTGGCTCCATAAAATTTCATGGCTAGGTGTCGTATGGTGCGGGTCCCTCGAACACACCATCCAAGCCTCTAGAAGCCGGAGCCAAACCTCTCTGAGCTGTCTTGAGCGGCATTCCTCCGATAGTACGTACCGGCTGAGAAGGGAGAAATGCTGCGAGGCAGTGGTACTAATGTGGGCGTAGAGACCATATGATGCGAATATAATGAATAGCTGGAGCGTTCCCGTGAGCAAAGCAGTGGAAAGAGGAAGGGAGAAAGGCGACACAGCAGGAAGAATGGTCACGAAGCGGAGCAGGGCGTCTGCAGGACCGAGGAGTGCCGAGGCGTTCTCGCGAGACGCGAGGGCTAGCGTGGCAAGCACCTGAAGTGCAAACGGATCGGGAAGCGGGGAATCCTCCCTAGGCGGGATTGGCGTAAGGAGAAATGTCTGCACGACGTTCGAGACGAGGCTGGGCGTAGTGGTGATTTTGGTAGCGATGACATTCGTATGCTGGGCGAGACGATGAAGGATGGCCAAGAGCTGCGCGAGTGACCCTGCTGGAAGAGCGGCCGTAGCAAAGGCGCTTGATATCTGTGCGAGGACGTAGTCTAGCGGCAAAGAGGAGAGAGGATCCCCACTGTCGGATGTAGAAATATTTTCCGATGAGACACCACTTCTCGAAGCGTCCTGCAGCTCGACGCCCTCAATGGAAATGACCCCTTCATCCCAGCCGACTATACACTCCCACATAACTTCCACCGCTCTAGCTCCCAGGCTACCCCGTTCTGTCATAGCCTCGACGCCGGCAGCTAGGATACGTTTGCGAATTTTCACCTCCTGGCCGGCGAGCTCCGGCATCACCGCGTTCGCATCCCCCCGACATGCCCTTCCCAGTCTCTTCGCAATGCGTCCGAGAATGCCGAGCATAGATGCTCTTTGAGCAGGCACGGTGGAACGAGACAGCAGCAATATGTCCTCGAGGGTATACCCCGCTCGATCGCCTTCAGCATGATGATGCAATCCGAGATATGTTGGGAGGGTGGCAGATAAGGCTGGGGGAATCGGTGTGCCCGTTAGATCGAAACGTAGTTCCGAAGATCGGGATGGCTCAGAAGAGGTCGGCCCCTCGATCCAGGCAAGAGAGGGGTCGTGAGCGGGTGCCTGTGGGAAGAATCGTCGACGGATATCTTCTGGCGTTCCTTCCTCCAGTAGCTCTAAAATACCGGGCGAACCAGCTTCACCATTGGACTCGAGCCGTGTTTCGTCTGACAGATTCTCGTATCCTCGTCGGCGAATGGCAGAACTGGCCCCGCCCTTCCACTTGCCTAGAGAGATGGTTGGGCCATCAGACTCTGTGGGTGCAGGGAGGGCGAGGGCTTTCTTCCTCGGTGAAGGGGGTGCAGACTCGTAGACGTAGATATCATCAGAAGTAACTTCTGCGAAGCGGACATTGCGGTCGATTCGACTAGAGGGTCGCGTTCCAGGCCTAGACATTGCAGAAGGAGGACTGACAGAGCGTGCTGTCCTTCCTGACCTGTGCATTAGTGCAAACAATGACACAAGGATGAGTCCAACATACCCTCTCGTACGCGATCTACTCTCGGCGAAGCAGGAGTTGAATTGGTCGAAGTGTGATCACTAGCCTTGTTGTCAGTCAAAGGTGGCTCTGACGATGCCAGCTTCCCCTCTCTCGCAAGTCTTGCCTTTCTCAGGATCTCACCGGCATTCGGTCCAAATTTTTCCAGTATCTCGCGCTTCTCTTGTTCTCTCTCCTCTTCAGTCATAATATCAACACGCTGCCAATTCTCTTCTTCCATGCGGCTACGCCAATCATCTGTCTCCGTTTTCCTCCAGGGTTTGGACGGTTCCGCGTTCTCAACAACGGGTACTCCACTAAATCCTTCTGTAGGAGCTCGTTTTTGTTCCCCTCTGGAACGCACGAATGCGCTCTTAGAACGGTGCAGTGCTGCAGGGAACCCTGTCTTTCGAGAGGCATTTGGTCTGGGGGAAGGCGCTGATGGCGATGACGCAGGTTTGCGCTCTAATATAGAGCCGATGAGAGGAGGCTGATGTGCCTGCATCGTAACTGTCTCACTGGGCAGCCTGCGACGGACCAAGATGAGATGCGCAGCGTGCACGAAATGGACGTTATAAACTCACGGATGGAACTGTCGATGATGAACGTAAGAATCCTACTGCTGGCAGACAAAACTGACAGGAGCCGTGTAACACAATGCAAAGGCGTTTCGTCCCAAGGAGTTCAGCACGATACGAAATACCCGAGGATAGCAATCTGTGGATCGTGAAGTCGGTCAGCGCCGGCCAGTGCCCAAGGTTCTTCGTTCAGAGGAGAGTTTGAATGGATTGAATATGGGTTATATATTTGGTGTTCAACACATTATGAGGCTTCCGACACCTTGAAGCAAGGACAGTGCAGTTGCGAGCTCTGCCGCCTCGAGCGCGGCTCGCAATCGCTTCGATCACGTGCATCCGCAAGGCGCGGTGGTGGCGCGGGGCATAGTACACCGTTCAACTTCACCCCGGCTTCACGACCCCAGACTAGACTCAGGCCGCTAAAAAAAATTTCATACTGCCGTAGATGTATTGGAATGTGCAGAGCAAAACCTCGTCTCTGCGGTTAAGTAATTGAAGCAAACGAGGCTGCCAGCGGTACCGTCTAACCCGGAGCGTTGCCAATGGGGATTTGTTGGCGTCTTGATCGTCCGAAGACTGATTCCCTGCTGGTCCAGGCTGCTTACATCCGAGGACGAGCACACAGCAGGCTTCTCGCGCTCATGCTTCCCCGCGTTGTCAGTTAGTTATCCGGAAAGCAGGTTCCTCAGGACGATGGGCTGCCGATAAGCCGTGTGTGTTCTGATTGAGAACACTTGCTAAGTTCTAACTCCTCGTTGCCGCCCATATATGAATCGCATGCCGGCAACACGGCTTGATGGTACTGGTCCAAATGGAACTGCACTCACTCCGCCGCTTACCCCTCGTTGCCCTCCGATACTATATGAATCGCATGCCGGCAACACGGCTTGATGATACGGGCCAAATGGAACTGTACTCACTCCGCCATTTACCTCATAGGAAGAAGACATAGAAGACATGTGGACCGCTGGCCGATGTTTGCATCTAACTCGGACCTTAGGCGGTTCAAGGAGTATTTTATCGACCATGTCCAAGCTGCTACTTCAATCCCGAATCCCCCGTCCTTGCTTTGGTCGATATGCAATCCCTCGGCATCATAACATGTTTTTTTATCGCGCTACTCTCGATAGTTCTCATTCGCATACTGTGCTCCTGGATTTTGACTGAGAAGCGAGGCCTTCCGTTGCCTCCAGGTCCAAAACCGTTCCCACTCATAGGCAACGCTCACCAGGTCCCTCTACAATCCCAGCCGGAGGTGTTTACTCAGTGGGCCCTTCCATATGGTATGTTCCTCGCGTAGGCTCATGTCATCCATCTCACCCGACAATAGGCGACATTGTCTTTGCGAGACTGTTCTCTACGCCCGCGATCATCTTGAATACTGCACAAGTTGCGCGAGATCTGATGGAGAAGAGAGGATCCAAGTACTCGGGAAGACCGCGGTTCTTATGGGCGATCGAAATGTAAGCCGTATAGCTACTTCGTTCATCGATATCAGGTTTATCAGGACACTAGGGTCGGTTTCGATCCAGTCCTTGCATTTATGCCCTACGGAAACCAGTGGGCGCAGCAGAGGAAGTGGTTCAAGGCAGCTCTTCAGGGCAAGGAAGCTCTCACCTCTTATTATCCCGTGCAGAGAACGGAGAGGCGGAGATTTCTGCTTGCGATGGTACAGACTCCTTACGAATGGGAATTTCACATCAAGAGGTATCTTGAAAACCTTCTCCCAAAATTTTCACTGTTAATAGCGCGGGGTACAGATATGCCGCGGCGCTCATGCTAGAGATTACATATGGTCATAGCATCACGGACGCAGATGACGATTACATACACCTAGTGGACGACGCCTTAAAACAATTCACAGAGGCCGCAGGCGGAGCAGCGGCATTGGTAGACTTCTTCCCGTCTCGTACGTCTTTGGCTCCTTACTCATAATATTTGGTCACGCACGATAACTTTGATCAGTACGATACCTGCCTACCTGGATGCCAGGCGCAGGTTTCAAGCGCAAAGCTCGTGAATTGAGAGCTATCATTCGCAAAATGCTGGATGTACCAGTGGAGAGGGTCAAACATGCCATGGTATGCGCGATTGCGAATTCAGATGCATGATAATTGTGACACACGCCCAGGCGTTAGGGGACACCAAACCATCATTCACCGCGTCCTTGTTGGCACAACTACACGGTGAATCTGCAATGTCGTCAGAGGCGCACATTAGGGGTGCTGCAGCAGCAGCATATGCTGGTAAGATCCACGCCACCTTTCATGTGATGAGCCATTCATTTTAAAACCTAATTCTAGGTGGAGCCGATACGGTAACGATCTCTCACTGTTATTGCTGTTTATTGGTAACTTGACACGTTCTTGCAGACTATTATAGTGCTGATGGCGTTTATTCTGGCCATGGTGTTACATCCCGAAGTCTGCCATAAAGCTCAGGCAGAGATCGACCGTGTCATTGGTAGAGGTCGGCTGCCAGACTTTGCGGATAGAACCTCGTTGCCGTACCTTGATTGTGTCTTGAAGGAGGTATACCGGTGAGGGTTGAATGCTATTCTCCGTAGTTACCGAGTGAACGAAGATTTTATTCACACAGTTGGAGCTGTCCCGTGCACCTTGGTAGATCATGAGCAACATGGACCAGTGAATTGCTAATATGATGCTATTTAGGTCTGCCTCATGCGGCAACTGAGGACGACGAGTATCGCGGCTATTTCATACCCAAGGGCTCTATGGTCATTTCCAATATATGGCGAGTATTGTTTGCTTATACATTCCATGCAGTGTTGAACAGGGTTCCTAATTCAGGGCAATGACACGAAACCCTGAGTTATACCCGGACGCAGATGCCTTCCGTCCCGAACGCTTTGAGGTCGCAGACCCTGAGATCGTAGAGGCTATGGATCCCAGCAACCTCATTTTTGGCTTTGGGAGACGGTACGCTGCCAATAGAACTCACGCTTCTCCCATGCTCACCTTTATCGTGCACAGAAAGTGTCCTGGCGCTCAATTGGGTGACGCGGACATATGGATAGCAGTTGCTGGTATCCTCGCAGCGTTCGACATCCGAAAAGCCGTCAACGCGGCTAACGCTGAGATCATCCCGGCTGCTTGCTTCTCCGCCGGACTGATGAGGTGAGGCGACATCACACGTTTCTTGAAATTCTTCACGTAAATTTTTCAAAGGCACGTGAAGTCGTTCCCATGCGAGGTCGTTCCGCGCAAGGGATTGAACTTGGAAACAATTGAATAGACTCAGTCGGTGTGTCTGCTCTATCTCATGTAATTTTACAATCTATGTAGTGACATTATCGTCGCCTGATCTGTGGTAAGCTTGCATGACATTTTCGCAAAAACAGAATCATCAAGAGGATTGGGGAGATCCTTCCCCTACTGCATGACAGCGTGTGGGCATTCATCGTGCTCACATCTGTTCACTTTGCGGATGCTCACTCGTCATACAAAGACTCATTATTCTTCCGCCGTGAGTTCTGCTGGCCACACTAAAAAAAGGTATGCTCACAGTTTCCTGGACTTGATTGACGAAGTACTAATGATTATGACGCGTCATCCTCTTCTGTTGTGCCGGTGCATAGGTAGTTTGACGCTCTTCGGGCATAGATGCTTTGCCTCTCCGAGAATGTTGGCTGATCAGCGTGTATGTGCCATACCAGTTGGGGAGATTATGGCGTGCGATAGATCACCGGTTCACCCCTGCCTCAAAGGCTGAACAATCTGGTGGAATAGCGTGCATCCGTATGAATGATGGCAGTTGCCCACGCTCGTTATCCAAGTTCTATTGCACCCACAATGTCTATAACAATCGATAATTACACTATCACTGTTGATAAGCTTGACCCAACCGGTCAGGGTTTCACGATGATCGCCGTTCGCCAGCGCAAGGTGTAGTACAATCACCTCACCGCATCGGAAAATCTCGAGTCACTTGTGGTCCCCAGGCCTGGCAGCACCGATTCCTATCCTATTATGAGAAAGGTGTGAAACATTGTGGATTTCTTTGACTGTCCCCTTCTATGACATATGTAGGCAGCTTGGTGCAGATTACATAATGCCCAGAAAAGGTGCAAAGCGGGCCCTTTCTAAATTCCAAACCTTTCTCCAAAATTATTTACTTGACGGGAAAGGCTGAATTAGTTAATTCAATTCTAAATTTCTTATGGAATTTCTAATGCCTTTCCTGCAACGAGAATCGGTTAAGTTTGTTGCCTTAAATCCATTCGGATTTTCCTGACAGTGGAGTCTCTGCAGGCTTTCAATGGCATTCATTCCACTCATTATGCAAGGAACCTCCTACAATGCTATGTCCTTCGAGTCCCTCTCCCACTCTAAGGGCTCTCACATCTTGAACAGCTGCCAGCCCACCATTCATAAACTCCCTGTGCTGCTTCCCCCCTCTAGGGCAAAGACTATCTGGCCCGGAGCGCATGCCCTATAGCATTGAGGCATGCGAGCAGCGATACCGAGCGCAGCCAAAGCTCTGCATCCGACTGGTGATATATATCGGAAACAAGCTGTTCAAGCATTGATCAGGCTGGGATCAGCAAGCATCAGAGATGGCCTGCTCACCGTCTTGTTTCTCGCGCCCTAGGTTACTTTTCTCTATGTGACCAGCTCGCTGCTTCGGAAGAATACCGGCGCTATGTGGCTTGCACTGATCCGGATTGACATCTGGCCGGACGAGGAGGCATGGCCTACCATCGCCACAGGCGGAGTGTGAGGGACATGGAGGGGTTTGGCATCCTTCGAGGCGAGTCCAGCTTCCATTTTGTCCCTACAAAAACGCTACAGCGGGAGAGTGCCAGGCGTGTTCTCGAGCTGACTCCTGAGAGGAGATCGGGCGATTGGAAGACGCACATTTTGCTGGCGTGATATTTATACGCCGTCCATCATCCTCATAACAATAGCGGTATCTCGGTTGTGCACAACAGCTCGGTCAGCCTGACATATGTCAGCGTCGCCTCTCGAGGAGAAAACTCGCCACACTAGAACGCCTCGGGGATTCTTCAACGGGGTATGTTCCGGGCGGGATCGTGCCCGAGCCAGCTGTCACCAAGAAAGGCAACTGAGGCCTCTCGGGACCACCGCTACCTTTCTCGCTTGACGGACATCCATGCGTCTGCCCAATTGCCTGTGTCTTCTTCCTCACGAATCATCCCCGCTTTGTCCATCGTTGTCTGAGTGGCCTGGGAACGGGCAGATCGGTCGCACGCCTAGGCTACCTTGGTCCTCTGGCAGGCTACGCGTTGAGGCACATTCCTGCAAACGTTAATTGACACTCATCGTAATACAAATGGTGACCAGCCAATTGCGACAGCTGGATCGGAAGAGCCAAGGCAGCGGCCTATGACTATAACGGGTGAGCTCCGACATTGTCGTTTATTGTGTTTTGAGTTTTCACTTCAGTCCGCCCCAACGCTTTGGTTCGCCTCAGTATAAGATTGTATGCGCAGCAGCAGGAATCGGCCTCTTAACGTTGTCATCTATATGAATCAACAACAAGTTGGCACTCATTCGAAAATGAAATTCCAGCTGCGGCGCCGGGATTGACTCGACTGCTCTCACGAGGCTTCCGTGGAAAAACAAGCTGTCAGGCGACGCCATGTTATGTCCTCGACCTATTCCCTGATCTCTCATACTGAGATCTTTCTCGCTGTGTTCAATCCCCGGAAGTACATGCAGATCCACCGGTATGGTAGTCGGGCGCACATTCTCCGATCACTAGTGCTGCGACTATAGGGATCTATAGCGCGGACGGCATGTGGTGCAGACGCTGTCTTGGAACTTGTGGTTTCCGCAGGTCGATCACTGCCCTTGTTTGAATGGCCGCGGTCTCCGAGCGTCTTTCAATTGGTTTGAGTTTACACCGATATACTAAGGGTGAGCTTCGACAGCGCGTGCAAGCGTTCCGATCTTGATTTGTAACCCGGTCCCCCAAGATTGGGTGTACCACTACTATTGTGGCTGATCGAGGAACGTGGACACGCGGTCAGGTCGGTATCTGTGCAGCCAGGTATCTCTTTGCTCCATGGGCGGATGTTGCGGGTACATCTCACTCGGTCCACCCAACGCGTCGCACTCAGATAGCGATCACACTAGCCTCGAAGCTGCGAGTCTTGCACTTCACATGCACGTGTGTGTACGTGTCTCGCTGCAAAGCCCATTAATTCGGTGTGCTTGACTTGCACTTCGTCTATTCCCCACTAATATATGTACCATTGACAGCAGCCGCTATATACAATGGAGCACGTTTCATCTTCCCCCATCAAACGCATGCGATCAATGACATGGTCATCTGACGCCGACTATCCATTGTACTGGCGCCAACGTGTATTCTAAGGCGCTCTCCATACTGAACTGCAGACATGCTGCCGCACGCAGTCATGCCGCAGTCGCTTTGCTGTTCAATGAGCCGCAGTGTCCAGTCGCCATCGCTTCAACTGAATAATGACAGTGAGCATGCATTCCTGAGGATGAGGGACTTCCATCTTATTACCATGCATACGATAGTGTGATAGGACGTTTCGGCGTGACGAGCCTCCTAGATAGGATCACAAGTACCACAATTACAGAGTCTACCATACGAGTGGGATGAATATGTATAAGGTACAGTTAAACATTACGTAGTCGGCCTGCGCGCACTACTGAAGCAGCGGATTCGTACAGTATCTCTACCACGAAGTCCTTTGTCTGAGCCATGACAGAAAAGGGCGGATTAAATATGTATGGAGGGAGGGCCATTGCTAATGCAACGGTTGGGGGTGTTGCGTGCTGGCCTGCTAGGGCAATCAGGTCAGTTTCTCGTGTGCTATATCGCCACGGGCGTTGAACACTGGCATACCTGGAATAAGCGACCTTCAAAAGAACACAGGGGCAGACGAGCTTGCAAGCCCACGGATGCCAGACGCGCTGCTGGGGCGACTTGAAGACGAGCTCGCGGTGGGAGCCGACGAAGATGAAGGGGCCTGGTAAGATGCCGGGAGCATTGCCGAGGAATGCATGATAGGATATGCAGGCGCAGTGTGACGCGACAGAGGATGAATTAAGAGTGAAAGGAGGGCTGGCAGGCTTGCTCCAGCACCGAAGGTAGCGTATCGTGCTGTGGGAGGTCTATGTGGGCTGGAGAAATGCAGCCGATCTGCAGTGCCTTTATATGCAGCCGCGCGCGGCGTGGCTGTAATGCGGGCGCGCAGGCAAACTTCGCAGCATCAGCTTCGCTCGGCGCTACGGCGACCCAACAACAGTGGGTGTGATGCATGAATCATGGATGCATGGACGTTAGCGTGATTGATCAGGTTTGTCCGGCGGACAAGCAGGACATGGCAGTGCCTTGTGTATACTCATGCATCGCATTCCCCGCTTCCGCGCCGACCTATTGGTGCCCTCAATCTATGATCACCTCGTGCAGGCATGAGAATTCAGTAGACGAATATACTCTCGGCACCTAGCCCTTTTGGATAGGCTCTGGTTATCCGCCCGGCATCCATGAGTTCTGAGTTGCTCTATGCTCCGAGTTTCCGCACAGTTTTACACGAGAGCTCCCGCGAGAGTCGCCCCGCTACTAATGAGTTGTCCGACACGCCTGAGCTAGATGTAATCTGCTTCCGGCCGCGCCGGGCAACACGTCAAATTGGCCGCTGAGGTACGGCGGCTGCATATCTGGTGGAATGCAGCTGGGCGCGGACTTCCTCTAACAGACTCTACAGGGGCAGAGGCAACAGGTCACACTTCACAACATGACTCGGCCTCGCTGCCAATTTGACTGTGTCGGGCAACAATGGCTATGACTCACAGATGAACATCCGAACATCCTCGTGCAGTAAGCGACAGCTCTACCGTGATAGGGCCAAACCTTACTTTCTATCACATAGCAGTGCAGCTCCGATAGCCGCCTAGGTATTGGGTACAGCGTGGGGGCCTTTGGCGAACCCGATACGGCTTGACAAATGCTCCTCACGCGTGACGCGTGCCCCAGGGTTGAGAAGTCGAGGAATTGTAAGAAAACGGACGTTAGAGGGCGGAAGCACTCAATCACCCAATTTCTGGCGATATATCGGTATCGGTGGAGACGCTTCAACCTGAGCTTAATAATGGCGTGGTGGCGTCCATTCTTCGCGTAAGGCCACTCGACGGAAGGGAAGCCGGAGAAGCATGATACAACGGCTACTCAGAACTGCAGGGACAGGACAGGGACCGGGACAGCTGCTTCCGAGCTACGATCGTAGATGGGAAGTTTCCCCGACGCTCAGGCATTCCAAAGTGGCCGGTTTCGGCTGGCAGGTTCTCTTCACGCAAAGTGTTGAAAATTGAATGGACTGTTGCTCCGTGACATGAGTTATATGAGATGATGAGACTACAGGACCATGCCCAATAGTATAGTCGGCCGGAGAGGACGCATCATCGCTCCCCCATAGCGACTTCCTTGATAAATGCCGTCAGCGGAGAAAGAGGCGCCTGCTCTGCTACGCCACCTCCGCGACAATCTTCCCGCTAAAGGAACGACAAAGTCAGTCTAGAATCGACGACTCTGCCGTCAGCCTGCATAGGAGACTAACATATTCTTGTTCTCCTCCATCTCACGATGTGCTTCTTGTATCGCCGTCCACGGGTAAACCTGATGCCATCAGACAGGAGGCTGGATCAGAGCGCCAGTGCGATCATGTGGGACTGCTGCTCTCACCTTATGGATGTACGTTCGCAAGGCACCGTCCCCATTGCTGCCGGTGATTTTGCCGAGCGCATCGCGTTTGAATCTGCAGCTAGGGTCGTCAAGCATTATTGGGGCTAGCTAGCCCTGCGGCCTTGCCTATCAATCAAATCGGCTTGATACGCAGCGCTGCGTGCACGGAGGGTAGATCCTTGAATTCTCAGACGTTTGTACAGAAGAGGGCCCAGGTTGAAGTTGCCAACCTCGCCGCCTGTTACGACGACATCAGTCATGCTGAGGCGCGAATAACGAGCTTGTGACCGACCGCTCAAGAGGCCGAGCATGGTCATCCGCCCGTCCACCGCCAGAGCGTCGATATTCTTGTGCCAATGGCTCTGGCCCACAAAGTCGATGATGACATCGACGCCCTTGCCATTCGTTGTCTTCTTGACCTCGTCTGCAAAGTTCTGCGTCGTGTAATTGACGACGTGCGTCGCACCGTTGGGGATGCTGAGAAGCCAGCTGAGCTTCTCGGCGGTGGATGCGGTTGCGGTGACCGTGTTCCTGGGAATGCGAATCGCTCACTGTGATGATTCGTCTCGAACAGGAATTGCGAGGTTCTTACGCGCCATACAGTCGGACAAGCTGGATGGCAGCTACTCCGACACCGGAGGCACCAGCATGAATCAGGACGTTATCGCCTCGTTTGACCTCTGCGATCACGACCAGCGCCTGAAACGCTGTTTCATCACAGGCTCAGAAAGGCGCTGCATTGAATGAAGGAGCACGAACCGGTAAGGAAATTCTCTGGAATGCTCGCGGCCTCGACCCACGAGAGATGATCAGGCTTCTGCATGATGTTCTTCTGTGGCACGGTGATATATTCCGCATAGGCCCCCTGGGCGCGGAAGTATCTTGAGATGGCGATGATCGCTGAGTGATGATCAAAACGTACCCCTGAGGCGAGGCCAAGAACCTCATCGCCCTTCTCGCAAGCCGTGACACTTTCCCCCGTTGCAGCGACACGGCCAGAGAACTCCACGCCCAGGATCTTGGACGTGCCTGGAGGGACGGGATATCTGCCTTCGCGCTGCAGAATATCCATTCGATTGAGGCCGAATGCCTTGACCTGATTCCAACGAAAGATCAAGGTCAGATAGCTGACGTATCGCTCAAATGGTTAACCTTGCCTTGACCAGGACCTCCTCCGGCCCCGGAGTTGGCTTCGCCGCCTCTCCTAGGTAAAGGCTCTCTATGGGGCCCTTCTCGTCTTTGATGAGCACGGCTCGCATCGTGGTGAATTTTCGAGTGTGTGTGGTTGAATGCAGTGCCGTTTGTGATGACACAACCCACTGGCATCCGCCTGACAGCCGCTTGTCTCCCGATAATCACGACATAAGGCGACGTCACTTAAGCAGAAAGTTCGGGGATATCGCTGAGGGTCCTAGGCCATGTTAGCCTTTGCTAAGCACTGTAACCTGTAGCATTGAAGTTAAGCATGAATTCTTGGATGCTCCCGGTGTTAGCTGGGTTTGTAACGACATGATCCAAAGGCGTTAGAGTTGAATAATTCCCGTCAAATGAGTAATTTTGCAAAAGGACCATTTTTCACCTTTCCCGGTCATTAATTCAAACTACCTCTGACGACCCAGAAATGTTGATGTATCGCATAGAGAGGATTCTAAAAGACTTCCACACGTTTTCGACGGTAGGAATAGGTTCCGTTGCTGTGCTGGTAGTCGTTGCTGGTAGTCGTTCTTATATCTACATAGTTCAAGTTTTACATCAAGTCAAGCGCCGATATAGCACGTGCGACGACGTACGAGATCAGCCTAATCAGGACGACCGCCTTGAATATCCAGTACTCCCATGAGACAGTGCATCTCTGTAGCTTTCGCTCAGTCAGAGAATGGCGAGATGTTTCTCGATACTTCAGTGCGGGCATGGATGCTCGGGAAATCAATCCTGTGCCAGAGCGGAGGTCTCAGTGAGTGACTCAAGTCGATCGCATTTCAGATAGTGCAGTGTCGGATCGGAATGCTGCCAAGGCTCTGGAGGCATCAACGCGAGGAGCTGTGGCAATGTGAGCCGTTCTAGCTGATCTTGCGGATCCGTGTAACGTAACATGGATACATCGCGTTTCAGAAGTGAAACACGATAGCAGGATGTCGTTTTGTCGCATTGATGACAACTCGTTTCGGGAGAGCACAAGTGGAGAGGAGCGACTGCGCGGGTTGGTTGCAGTGCAGATTCACCAGACCAGCTCCGTTGACTCCTAGATGAACAGGCCGCCTCGTTAGCCAGGCGCTACGCTCAGTAGCCATCATCTTGATCTACATCTCATAAACTGCGAAAGCCCATAAACGGAGCTGCTTTTGCCGGTCAGCCTTCTTAAACTTCAATTCAATGACAAGCAATTCTGCTTCGAACAGTTGGAAGCGAATGATCCGTTTAGTGCGTAACATGTTCAATCTTGTTATATGATAATAATAATACTGATTATGAGCGCTGTGTGTAAACACGACGCAGAATTTACTTTCGCTAAGGATCTTTTAGTGGGAAATCAAGTCGATTAGTGTTGCGGGTATATCCCGCCCGAAACTACAGCAACGTCCATTCCAGTGTTCCTGAAGATTACAAAGGGCAAGAAAGTCCGCTCGCCTTGGTGATTAAGGAAAAATTAGCCAATTTCGATGGTTTCATCGACTTCTAGTTGTTGCAAATTTTGGCGGAAGTTGCTTAGGGGATTGTCAGCGAGAGTTCAGCTCACACCATGCCCGCGGTGGTCGCTTGGCGTTTTCGATGCGCACACGATGCTCAGACGCCTGCTTCGCTTCAAAATCGTTTCTTCCGGGAAGCCGCGCTTCGTGTGGGCGCTTCGGTTGGCTGGCTCAGCCTGGCTGGCAATGCTTCGATCCAAGCTATTGCTTGCTTCTCTCCGAGCGGTTCGTATCGATGGTCCTCGTCCGCACCAGATGGCTTGTTCCTGCGGTATGTGAAAGCATCTGTCACCACAAGCTCCGGACGCACATCTGACACAGTTACACCACGCTCACGTCCGGCCAGCGATGCCATTATCCTATCCACAGCCGCTTTACAGAATTGCTGCGGGTTCTGAGGCCCGTTGTGCATCGATTGACCCGCTGGGAAGGGAAAGGGATGGCGATGCTAACGGTGGGCGCCCGTTGCGCTCATTGCCGTGATCTGTTTTGAACCCGCGCCAGCAGAATCGTAACTGATGAGTTGCAAGCTCAGCGCTTTGGTGGGGCGGGATGTCCACAGGCCGTTGCCTGTGCATCTCTTCTATGAAGTCCGCAACCATCAACAGGGACCCAATTATCGTGTGTCACCTCTGCGTAGCCCCTGATCTCACGATGTTATTGACTCCCGCGCTGCCGTTCCGCACGGCGAGATGCGGTGCCGCCTTGCACATATAAAGTGCGCGACAATTGCTGGACTGCATCCAGGATTCCACCACAAAGACATCCGCCCCGAATCGTCACTTAGACTGCGAGCCATTGAAACACCTACTAGAACATTTTACCTCATCCTCTAATTTTTCTCGCCTACTCACCATATAACCATCGCTATGGCTCGCGTCATCTTCTCTGTCTCCAACGGCACCTTCGTATCCTCCTCGCCATTCGCTGTGGCAAACCACCGTGCGCGATTCGCTGCCCCTGCCAGCAAGCCAGGGTCTTCACAGACCAAGCCCACCCAAACTAGCTCCAGCTCGCAGAATATCATTCGATCTACTGCGAGCAGCACAGGGCCCGTCTTCTTTTGAAGCGCGCTGCTATCCTTGCTATCGCCGTCGCGTAAAAGAGAGCAGGGCTCGCGCGCGCAGATCGTGCGAATCTCAGTCGTAGGGAGAGAAGAAAGCCGGAACGCTGCCACTGCGCCTGACCACATCATACTTTTCATCGCCCACTTGGCACCCCGCATCAGTTCCGAAACTCCGTTTCCCTCGCACATCCACGCCTATCCCACTTTGTCCACTCCCCACCGTTCTCGCCATCCCGTTCGAAGTACACAGTTGTCATGCAGCCGCAGCGCAAGCGCTGCCGCTCGAAGCGGTGTCAAGAATGCGCACAAGATTGGTACTCCTTGCCGCCGACCGCCCTGGGCTCAGGGTTCTATTTATAACTAGTTGTTCAATATCTATTTCCTAGAGTGTATCGCATTTCCGAGTAGTCCTATCTGTATCTCAAGCTCCATACGTACGTACAACCCACCTACATTAGTATTACCTTGAACCCTATCACTGCTACATACATGGTCCGACCCTTATTTACCCTTGACGTCGCGTACTGAGCTCGTGTGTGCGGCACAGTTCTTCCTTTGATTAGCAAGTCAGTTTGCGACGCTCTACGTGCGACTTCACCGTGCAGGTCACAAGATATATAAAGACGCGTCGATGCCAGCAGGTATTCGCTTGCATATTCTCGAGGTTTGCATGAAGGACGCCTCTTTGGTCCGTTCAGCTTGCAAGACCACCTAACATTGCTCATGAGATGCCTGGAGTAAAACGTGTATATCTGGATTTAGCTTTCTGCCGTCAGTGCCGCATGCCAAAATGCGGGCTTCAAGCAACATCAACGCGGCGGCTGCGTCATGCAGCGAAAAGTGCATGAAATCAATCCTAACTTGGTGCACTCCGAAAAACTTCAAAGGCGAACTGCAACAAATGGTCCCGCAGGTTGTGGCATAAAAATCCCGCAACAGCCACACTGAAAAGAGAAGGAAGAATTTGACGGTGAAGAATGCGGACAATGTGGCTACACGGCAGCCTGCGAGCGGTACGCTTGCCGACGACAGGTCGGTCCATGACATGCTCCGTGCCTTGATCGGCGAAATGCTGACGAGATCTGCAGGGGACGTGCTTACGGTCTAGATGAAAATTTAGGTAGACCCTACTGCCAAACGGAACCAAAGTGGCACCATGCCGACGGACACACAGGCCTGAGGACATACATCGGAGACAGATACCCCGAGCGATACGATGAACCTTACCTGACAAGATGTACGAGCCAGAGCCGCATGTTTGCGGAAGTGACGAGACTTTCTTTGGAAGAAAGAATTTTGTGGTCCCAAAGATATTCACTGGGCTCCGTAGACGCGATACTCTGAAGTTTCTTACCACCACTGTATCGTACTTTCCTTGGAGAACGATAGGCAGACATTACTGTGGGATTTGCTGCTCAAACCCCCAGATCACTCGGCGTGACGCACACACAATGGCCTAACAAAATGGAAAAACAGCATAATGTGCCCACGCAACACATCAAAGAGAATCCCCAATGATAGCTTCACGCTTTCAGAATCGTTTCTTACCAACAATAGCACGCTTCGCGCTCTTCGCTGCCGGCGTACTCTGCAAAACCTTCTCCCTCTTCTTCGCTGCTCCCTCCACAGTGCGTTTCCGCTTCAGCTCGCTCTTGGAAGGTGTGGTCGACGGAGTAGGAGCGAGGAGGCTCGTGGCTTTAGGCTGAGCATCGGCAGGCTTTGCCTTGCGCTTCTTCGGCTTCGTAGATACCGCCTCCGCAGCCTCGATGCTCACCTTTACGGAGACCGCGGGATCATCCGTTCTCCCTGCGGAACTGTCGGCCTCTGTCTGCTTTACTTCCCTCTTTTTCTTCGTCGTGCTACTGAACGACTGTACATCCGTCGTTATCGGAGCCAAGACCGCCGCTTGCGACGGGTCATCCTCGAAGAAGTCCACCGCAGAAGCGCGAGTGTTCTTCTTCTCTGCGACCGATAATGTAAGAGGGGCAGCGTCAGAGGGCAAAGCTACGCTCTCAGCAGCAGTTTGTACATCAGATGGTGAAGCGCCAGCCTTCTTTCTCTTCAGCTTCTTGGCTGGGGCAGTGTTCTCTGTTAGCGCTGGTGACTGCTTCTCTTTTGCTGCATCATTCAAGGTCTCGGCATCGACGGAGATATCCAGGGTGGGGTGGGGAGCATGAGACACGGCAGATACAGCTTTGCTCTTCTTGGACTTCTTAGCAGAAGCATTAATCGCAGGAGGCTCTATAGCAATAAACGTCCGTGAGATTTTAGACCAGCCGCAGAGGATTCGCTGTGAACTCACGAACGGCACTTGCGGATCCGGAACCGATGGAACCAAGTATTGGGCTCGCCTTTGCCTTCTTCTTTGGTTTATCAGCGTCTTCTTCTGCCACCCGTTTCTTCCCCTTTCCTTTCTGCTCCTTGGGTTTCGCCACTGCCCTGTCTGCCTCCGCGTTCTTCTTTCCTTTGGCTCTCGCTGCGTTCGACGCAATGACCTGAACCTCGCTGCCCTCATCAGCACGACCTTCTGTATTTTCCTCGATCTCACTCTCGTCCTCGGGAATATCGTCCATCACCAGACCAGCCCACCGGGCACCTTCTTCTGCTCCAAGGTGACAACTCCAGATTGGCAGACTGGTGGAAGAATTCGTTTTGATGTGGAAGCTCTGGATGTTGTCCCATTTTCCTTTAATATGTTTAACAATGGCTGGAAGTGCGGTTTTGAGGTTATCAAGCACCTGCGATGGCTTCTGCAGGAGTGTGCCGATCTTTACGGAACTGTGTATTTAATCAGTGAATGTTCAAGGAAGAGGGCACAGAGGAACGCACGTGCATGTGCCCTGATTTTGGTGGAAGTAGGTAGACGAGATAGCACGCTCAAGCTCATCCTTGAGATCTTTTCTCGTCAGAGATACTGGGATGGGCTGTCTAGCGTACAAGTGGTCAGGAACTACCTGAGCAGTAGTATAAAGCAAGCGTACTTCTTTGCCTGAAAAAACTTCTTCCCAAGAAGACCAGGAAGTAATGGAATGACGCGATCGTCCGCCAGGAACAAATCGTTCTCTTTCAGCAACATCCGTCTCGCTTCGTACGGCTTGAACTTTCCCTTCAGCTTTGAGATCCCAACAACTCGCGAGATGAAACGTATGCTGTGCTTCTCAAGGAGGTCTTTGTACTCTCGTTGAGGATCTTTCGTGATGAGGCAGACGGATGATGTGCGAGGGTCAACCAGAGGATGCATGATGGGTCTGCGAGGTGTTAGACAGAACGTTGACAACTCCATACCAGATTACGCACATCTTGTATGGTTTGAGTTTCCTCTCAGGCTGCATCTGTTTCACCGTTAAGACCAGCCATACGTTCTGCTCCTTGCCCAGAAGCAGTTCGTTCTCGGCTTTTTTCTCCTCGACCTTCAGAGCATGAGTGAGGAGAGCGTTGACCGCTAACTTGCACTGGTTCTCAGAGACCTGGCCGTCTATGAGTTCGCCGTTTGTCATGTTGACGATCGCAAGTAAAGGAGTGGATAGAAAGTAAGCAAGACCAACAATTCTCAAGCTGGCTGAATTGAAGTCGACTTCACTCGAAATTGTGAAGTATACCACGTGATCGTCTAACACTTTAGTCCTTTTTTGGTAGCTCAGTAAGAAGGCCGTTATTTGGCAGTTCTGATCACCCGCCACCATCACCATGCATTATCTCTTCCTCGCGCTGCTGAGCAACGCATTCGCGGCCTGCGTGTCTGCCTTAGAGAATGCCGCTCTAGATAGTCCACAAGAAGTTTTCCAGTGGCCTGCGAACGACGATGGCTTTGAGCGAGTTATTAGAAACTCGGAGCTCCATTCACTTCTTGGATCTGAACATGGTACTGCGAGCAATCGCGTCGATTTGATGTTCTTCTCGGATGGCTGTGTGTGAACCGCATTGTCATGCATATAAGATACTCAGCCCTTTGTTTTCAGATACAATCGAGGAGAGACAGAAGTTTATAGATGATGCGACCCGCTTAGCCACAGACATATCGAGCAACCAGACATTCAACACGGTCAAACCTCTCCTAAACTTTTGGGCGGTATATGTGCGCAGCAAAGAGGTCTGTGAACGTTCATTTACTCAAGATACCGTGCTAATCAGTGGAACAGAGTGGAGTCGGTACCGGCGGCAAGCCCAAAGAGTACATGCTCTTTCAGTGTCATGTAATGTATTCTAACAATATTAATAGTACTCCGTTCGGTCTCTATCGCGATGGGACCGAGCTGAGAGGAGTATATTACAGCAAGCCAGAAAACGCACGAGCAGCATGCGCCTATTATGGAGATAAATGCGACTATCCAATCCTTATGGGTGCGTGGGGATTGCGCACTCCCAGTGAACAACGATCTCACTCCCGTCTATCAGGGAACGACCCGCTCTATGGAGGTAAATAATACTTCGTTAATTGGTCTCATCTCATGTATATTCATGGTATCTTACCAGGTCTGGGTGGAGAGTTCACGTGAGTGGTATCCCCAGCAACCGAAATTGAGTCTGCTGAACATAGCAACGACAGCGTGATTACCCCTTCATCGGCGAATGGCGCACTTGTGCTCCGGTAAGCCCGCATTGCATTAGCAATACAGTCGCTCATTCGCTCGTCAGGCACGAGCTTGGTCACTCCATCATCGACGTCGGGGAGGAGTACGATGGTGGACCTGACTACTTCGGGATCAATGCTGCGCACAATCTCTCCACGCCCATCTCCTGGTCGCATTGGCTCACCAACGGATCGCACGCACATCACGACCATGATGCCGGTTTCGGCGCTGTGCGTGTTGAGCGCTCCGTGATGCCCATGCAAGCGTATCCATGGACGCTGCTCAACACCTCCGCCCCGTGGTTCGTCACATTCAACTCAAGCGGGATATACACGCGGCATCTGATACGCTTCTCTCTCTCCGGACTTCCTAACGAGGACGACTTGCGTGTGGCTTTCGACGGAGAAAATCTGCACTGGAAGCCGAGGCCGGACATTGGTGTAGATCGCTGGCACTACGACATCCATCGTAACATTGCTCTGAGCGGCGATGAGCATCAGGTGGAGTTCGCACTTAGCAACGGCGACCTGGAGGGAACCGCGCAGCTATGCAGCGTCGAAGTATTGGAATTCGGTGATAGCGAAGAGTTACGTCCATTTAGGTAGCTCCTGGTCAAATTTCTTATCCCCCTTTGTTCACATCAGATTCATCGCTGCCCCTGGACATTACGGTATCTATCCGACGTAAGTTCGTCATCTTGTAGAGCGACCGATTGAGACACGGTTCTGTTACACGGATACAATCATGAAACTGACAGTCCGCACAGCTTCTCAGACAGGAACGAAACATCGTACCGCCCCACCAATGAAGACTGCCTCATGCGCCTGGTGACAACGCCAAACTTCTGCAAAGTCTGCCTCGAGGGCCTGTGGTTGTCATTGTTACGGCGTGTGGATCTCATTGACAACCTACGAGCGGGATGCATAGTCGACGAGAATGCATGGCTGAAGCGCATTCTAGAGCTCGACTTGGTCCCACTCGCGCAATTCCGGGAGGAGGCAGTCGGCGTGGAGGAGAGCTACACCGTCACATGGAAGAAAGATGGGAAGGTGCTGGAAGAGTTTGCAAATCAGACCAGTATCTCGATGGACGATGCGCTTGCCCTTGGCACCTACACGGTCGACGTCCAGTTCAGCACGGCCGAAGTGCGCATGGACAAGAACGGTCTACTGAGGAGCCAGCTCGAGTACATCGTTGACGACACGTGTGGTTGATTGTTGGGCGGCAACGCCAACGTAGGAGCCTCATGGCTGATCGAAATAATGCTTCGGAGCTAAATAGATCTAGTGTACGTACTGTAATGTGTGGGTATGGTGGCTGTAAAGACTGACTGATTGATGTGATCCTAACATGACTGACCGGCGATATGAAAAGCTATGCTGAACAATTTTACAAGTAGTGTAAAGACTAGTCCCCGGCTGGAGTATATTACCGGAGCAGGGAGCGACGATAATCATGAATGGGCCCCGAGCACAGGTTGCCGACACCATAACCGCACGGAATATGCAAAGTCCGCGCAATAAAGAATCGCGTTGCAAAACATGGTACACGAAAGTTTAGCGACTGCCAGCTAAAGAAGCCACCGATCCGAGAGTGCGGGGAAAAATGCCAAGAATATGTCTTCGTAAGATCTCACCACTCCCTCCTACATGATGATGCATTTACAACAACCGGAGCCTCCGCCGTCTTCTTGAACATCTTGCCTAATAGCCTGTGCCTCGGGAAAGGCCTGCACGATCGGAGGGTCTATTGGCCGTGGTGCAGTGCCGGCGGCGTAATGAGCAAATGGTGGGGGTGAGGGTGGAAGAGACGGCCGGGACCGTGCGCGATCCAGCTCGCTATTTGAACTCGGTATCGGCGTTGACTCTGGTTGTGCTTGTGGTTGCATTTGCAGCGGCGGCTGTGGCTTCGGCGACTCAGTGACACGCGAGGGCTCTTCCGTTACCACATCCACCTTCTGGTCGAGCTCCTCCATCGGAATCTGCTCCACTTCTTTTCCCAGTTCACGTCGCCGAGCTTTCGAAGGATCATATCCAAACGTGCCTGGAGCCTGGGTCAACACGATATTGAAGGAGCACGCCGCGATGAGCATTCGGAACATAGCAGGCAAGAGGGCACCCAAGAGACGTCGCAAGACTCACAGGTTCGTAGATCCCACTATTTGTTTTCCGCGGTCGCGGGCTTCCATCTGCTGGGACATAATGGGACTCTAGACCTTTCTTTCGTGCAACCACGGGCAAGACCACCTGCGACACCGTAATACAAACGTCAAACGCATGATTAGGTGAATTTGACATATGAGCGCTCACGTCATCCCAATTGCCCGATGGAGGTACTGGTTGCGTCCAATAAGGAATTGCATCCACCAGACCATCGCCATCAGGTGTAGGGTACTGTCCGATTGATCTTCTGTTCTCGACGGTATGGATAATCTTTCTGTGGGCGGAGGGAGGCGATTTTGTCTTCGCCTTCTTCGCAGCCGAACTAGGTGTTGACGTCGCGGGACTCTTCGCACGCCGCTTCGCCGCCGTGCGCTGGCTGACAATCTGCGTTTGTGGTTGCGATTGGGAGCGCGGAAGGGGTTGCAGGCGTGTTGACGAGGTAGCAGAAGATGCAAGAGCTTTCGTGGGAGTAGGCGTACGTGGTATCGGCGACCTCTGTCGTTGCGAGGTAGGTGTCGGTATTCGGGATATGCTTGTCGATGTTGTTCGCTGCCGGCCGGGGTCGTGATGTCCAGCCTGTGGGTGAATGAGAGCCAACGAAGGCGAGGAGATGGTGCCGTTGGGATGTGGCACAACGTCCTGGTTGTAGGGTTCGAGCGCTTGCTCCTCAGTGCTTTCTACGTCTGTCGGGGGATGCTCATCCAACACGTTGCTCACATCCTCATCGTTGAGCGTCCTGCTCAGGTCTTGAGCGTGCGCATCCTCGTCGTCGGAGTATGCACTCTGTGTTAACATTGCGCCCATACTCCCTGATCGCCGCCTGGTTGCGATCTGAGATGCTGCCAGATCTTGATGCGTGGAGTTAGACCGTGATCTGGTGTAACCGTTGTACACCAGCCGAGACGATGCCTTCCGGAACGAATGTCCATAACTCGCGATGTCAAGCATCTCCTCACGCTTACCGACACGTAGTTCACCCACACCCCCATTGCGAGACACGTCGCCGCGATACCAATGCTCATACGGACGCTCCTCCGAATCTGACGATATACGATAGCATGCGACGTTGTCTTGCTCATATTCCGGGTGTGACGTTGCTGAAGAGTTCGCGCTATAAGGCGCAGGCTCGTCGAAGAGCTCAGATGCTTTATGCCGTGGCATCCGAACTGTTGTACGTGTGCTGTATGACCGCGGCCCTCCCTCTGCAGGCCAGAAATCTATGACGCCCCATGAAATAAGCAACGTTCCGAATGCAACTGCGAAGATGTACCTTCGTCAGTTTTGCTCCCATTGGTAGAGCCCCGAGCATGGCTCGAGGCACTACCTGCCCTCCCACGTGAGACTGGGATACGAGTTCTGCCGTTCACCATGGGAGAAGTGGGCCTAGAAGAGGAAGATCCTGTTTGCAAGTGCGGTGATTCTGCTGGCTTCGGGGAATCGAAGGCCAATGGCTGCGACAGGCTTCGAGAACGCGGCGGTTGGGGCGGTTGTCCGACGGCGTTGGGCGAGTCCATTGCTGTCCTTGACTGCTGAAGGCTTGGCCGAGGAATAGCGCTAGGTTTATGATTTGATGAATGCTGCGCCGGCGGCGTGGCGGCATCTTGACGCGATATAAACGCGTTGGAGTTGTACAGGTCGGAAAGATCGTCGGCCGACCCAACTGAGGCAGCAGAGATCCTCCGCGCGAGCACTTTGCTCTCATCCTGCAAGCCTATATCGAATATATATTGAAGGATGCAGCTGAGGAGTGCAAAGGCGGACACTCACGTTTACGAAGTGTCGGCACAATCACCTCATCCCACGCTGGCTCTCGCAGGGCAGATTGCGCCGTCGCCGTCAGAGCCATAGACCGAGACAATTACAGAGAGAACCAGAAACAGTGCTCCCTCCAAGCAGAACAAGATATGAGGGAAAAGAGTGGCAGCAGTTGGACGAGACTTCGGGTCAGTCGAAACGGGTCGCTTCCCAAGTGAGGCGCACTGCCTGAGTGCGAAATGCTTCCGTTTGCGGATACCGATAAACTAGCTTTCTCACGCTTACAACGATCAATAGCCAGTGTCAACTACACGCGTTATTGTCCTTTTTGGTGCAAGTTGTGCTCTCGCCCACCCCCGCCGAAGTATGTCCTCGCTAACATGCTCCCCGTTGCATCATACTAAATTTTCGTGTTTAGATGAGTGCAGATGTCGCTCGTGCTCCGCGAATTGTTTCGTCGTTGGCACTACGCACTATTCGCCCAAGCAAGCGAGCTCCGCAAATTCGCAAACCACTAAAACGCGACGATAAGGATCTTCCCATCCCGCATGTCAACATTACCGTTCGCGATACGCACGCGTGCCGTCTCGCCGAGCACTACTACACCACCGTCCAGGACAATCTTATGTATATGACATACAAGCACGAGCCAATCCGCAAGCCAATCCGCCAAATTCGCCCAAAGTACGATCCCGACGACCCCTACGTCAAGTTTCGCAACAACCCGCCGGTTGGCGGTAACCAATACTTCAAGCAGCCTTTACCGCCGGTCACACCGAACAACGTCGTCGAGCTAAAACGTATACAGCTGCACACGATGATCAAGGAGGCCTTGAACAACAAGGCGAGTCTCCTTGGTCCCATCATAGCATTCCGCGCTTTGTCGGGCGAGTCAGACCATTCCGGGAACCAACGGTCAGCGGAGGGCGTGCAGATCACGAAGGGAAAGAGGAACGTCGGTGGATGGGTTCGACCGGGGCAACCGATTGGCGTGAAGGTTGACATGGTCGGCCCGAAGATGTACGACTTCCTGGGCATCCTCGTCGAGTTTGTCTTCCCTCGGCTGCGCGAGTTCCCCGGAATCCTCATGCCAGGCTCTGCATCACCGTTGAACACGCCTAGCGCCGCACAAGGCATTGTGTCGTTCGGTCTGCCCCCAGAGGCGTTGTCTCTGTTCCCCCAGATCGACGTCAACTTCGACGCTTATCCCAAGACATTCGGCATGCACGTACACTTCGTCACCGACGCAACTGGTGTTGGTGCGCAAAATAGAGCAAGAGCACTGCTATCGGGCTTCCAGGTCCCTTTCGCACGTAGATGATTGGTGGTGAGCATTTCACGTTACTGTACGATTCTACACGGCTCACCCAGCTGTTCCAGGACGATTTGGTTTTGCTGTCAAATGTAGCTCTATCCATTGCTCAGTCTAAAACGTTTCTCCCTAGCCGCTGGCTCTGGTAGATCTCTTGTCTGAGTGCGAATCTTGTGGCATTTGAATGGTGCGTAGTACATACCATATCCCGGTGAAGGAACAGCTACTGGTTCCAGTTGAATGGACGACAGTCTTTGAACTTCCTTGCATCGGTCGGCGGTCTATCCTTCCTGCCTCCGGGCCGTTTTGTGCTGCCATTGTGATCCATGGCCTGGTTATCCATTGATAACGGCTTATGCGTGGCCCGAAGACTTTGACAGCTTGCCTCGTCATAGGGCCAAGGCGTAACTTCAGCATAATCGTCGACGGCGGCAGAGCCAACCGTAATTCGTCAACTGTTTCACATTCCACAAAACGTGCCTCATCAACGAATGCAATTGTTGCTCACGACAGCAAAACCATCCAACTATGGGTTACAATAATCGCGTCCAATGGCGTTGTCCGCAGAATATCTATCAGTATTAAGGTGACATATGCACATACTCATAATTACACATCATGAATCATAAGTTCCCGCTCGTTGTTTATGACGTCCTGCGAGAAGAAGATGGGTATTTTACATATGCAAGGTTGTCATGAGAGAATCTAAAGCAAGGATCGACAAAACATCGGTATTCCTTTCGGACAATGAACAAATTTGAGGATACGCACTGCCAAAAGAACCACTGCCACGACGACGACAAGCACCAGCGTCAAACACAGCGCTCTTCGGCCGGCCTTGCGCTGGTATTCGTGAGCTGTGGTAAGCTCTTCTGCAGCGCCGGCGGTGTCAACAGCGATGGATGAAATATTCGACTCGATGTTGTCTGCAGCAAACCGGCCGTTTGATATACACGTCTTAAATGTATGAGATAATTACGCACCGAGCATGCCACCCTGCTCTGAAACAAGCGTACCCAAGTCACGGAATATCTCCGAAAGCTCGTGAATGCCCGTCTCTATCTCGCGGATCTCGGCTTCACGTTCCTGGATTAGAGATTCCTGGAACGCAAGCTCGGCAGGAGAGAACTGGTTATGGAGAATCTGCGCCTGACGTTGTGATGGTGTAGGGCTGGTCGATCGCTCCTGGCTGCATGAAATATGAGGGTTTGATTGTAGCAGAACGAGAGGGATGACGTACGGCGCAGCCTCCTCCTCTTCAACGGCGAGCTTCACGCCCTGTACAACTGTGCGTTGTCGGTCTGCGCTCACCTGTTGTGCGCGCTGGAAGGCGACGAGGGATAGCTGGAAGTCATGCGAGGTCTTCTGCAACGACGTCTTATGTCGAGGCTTAACATTATGGAGTAAATTAGAATACAACGTGGGCATATAGTATCTAGGACACACCAGAGTCGCTTGCAACGCCGCAAGTTTCTTCAAATCGTCGGAACCGCGCTTCGCCATCGCACGAGTGGTCTCCGTCAAGTCATGACTGCGCATCCACCGCATCAATCTACACCCTTTTCCCTTCAGTTACAGATGTTCGCACATACAGAGACTTCCTTAGATTCTCAGAATCGCGCGGAGTGCCCAGCTGATCGACTAGCTTCAGAATTCCCTGCACATTGGAATTGATCTTGAACACTTGAAGTGAGAGGGATGACTGCAGGCTCAGGAATGCCGCTTCCTCTTGGGACTGCGGCATACCAATGCGCGGCGACAGAGGTCGCTGCGCCAGACCAGTTTCTATGTCTTGAAAGCTCATGATAGGAACAGTCGATGGGAGAGAGTACAAGGCGTGGTGTGAATGTTCCCTGCGGCGGCGGCGTCCTTGAGATAATAAGCGCCGCGAGAAGGCACGTGTTATCACCAAGCGGGCGTGATGATAAGTTTGGTTTGGTTACCTTACTGTCACAGAGAAGAAAGCACTGATTCTCACTTCAAGAAATGCGTTAGAATTGAATTGAATAATTCAATTGAATGAGTTGAGAATGCTTGGAAGGGCTTATCTTGTACCTTTTCCGAGCGTTAATTAACTCCAAACTGAGAGGATCTTATATAAGGAGAAAGTTAGAGGAAATCCACAACGTTTTCATGATATATTAGGAATCGGTACTTTGTTTGCGATGACTAAAATCGCATGTTCTGAGATACAACTTAACTTGCGATAGCCCTCAGTTAATAACACATATCTTGTCTAAGTGTCAAGCACAGACTCTGAGTATTGTGTGCAAAATAAATGTCTGTGTGCTGTGGCTGAACTGAAAGGAAGGACACTGAAGCATTTGCAATCCCCAGGGGGGCCGCCCGGGATCGTATCAAAGCGATTTGCGCGGTCACGTGGGTTGTGACTCTCGCCTCGCCTCGAGGACGAGCGTGCACCGTTTTGGGACCTCGCTTTGAACAGGTACTCATTGCCGGCTTGTGTCCTGAGCTGAGACAACTCCGAAGCGTGTCCTTCTTATCCAACACTCAGTTGTCTTTCCGTAACCATCTCATTTCGAAAGTTGCGCTTCGTTCAGAACGTCGGCAACGACCGAAGGAACCGCACAGATCAGAGCGCTCGCCTGATTTGAACATTTCGCTCAGCCACAGTCATTCGATCGTGCAGAGGGCCACGCGCACATACAGTATAAAGCTGACCTCGAAGAACAACTGGAACCGATCTATGTGATGCCCAAAGTCTGCTGCAATGACTTCCTCGACGGGCAGGGCGCGCTCTCGTTCTCAACCCAACAAACTGCTTCAAGCTTATGTCAGTGTATCCTGCGTACCCAGGATTGCGCATCTGTTGATTTTCAACCATGCTTGCAGCAATTAGGAGACTCCCTCGGGAAGGGTGCATTTGGTAAAGTCTACCGTATGTCGACTTTCGCGAATTCCGTCGTCACCGTCACTCATGTCTCATTAGGCGCATTGAACTGGGCTACTGGGGAGACGGTGGCAGTCAAGGAAATTCAGCTCAATAATATACCAAAGAGCGAGATCGGACAGATTATGGTGCGTCTCCGGTTTCTATCGATATAGCGTTGAGCTCATCCTTAGACTACTCGCAGTCCGAGATTGATTTGCTCAAGAATCTGAAAGTACGTTTAAGATGTCCCTCCCGCATTTGCCTCACACTCACGATAGCGTGTAGCACCCAAACATTGTTAAGTATAAAGGATTTGAGAAGACACCAGAATACCTCTACATCATTCTCGAGTGAGTGGCTTACCCGTACTGCATGCAAGTGTCTGCAACGGTCTCTTAGGTTCTGCGAAAATGGATCTTTGCACAATATATGCAAGCGGTTTGGGAAGTTCCCCGAGACCCTTGTCGGCGTGTACATCTCTCAAGTACTGGAGGGACTCGTATACCTGCACGACCAGGGCGTCATCCACCGTGACATCAAGGGTGCGAACATCCTTACTAATAAGGATGGATGCGTGAAACTAGCGGATTTCGGTGTGGCGAGTCGTACCGCTGCCAATCCTGTTCGTGACGATGCGGTGGTTGGGAGTCCGTATTGGAGTGCGTCTCATTGGCTGATTCGACCGCATATATGCTCGCTGACTCACTGTGAAATAGTGGCGCCCGAAGTCATAGAGCAATCGGGAGCGACGACAGCGTCAGACATCTGGTACGTTAGTCATAGTTGGCCTTACTACTATAGAAAGCGATGAACCCTATTTAAGGAGTGTAGGCTGCACAGTAATTGAGCTGCTCGAAGGAAGGCCGCCCTACCACTTTCTCGACCCAATGCCTGCTTTATTCCGTATTGTTCAAGATGACTGTCCTCCCATCCCAGAAGGCGCATCTCCGATTGTCAAGGACTTCCTGTACCATTGTTTCCAGAAGGATTGTAACCTGAGGATATCCGCCAAGAAACTGCTCAAGCATCCGTGGATGGTGGCTTCTCGGAAGCAAATATCCAGCAACGTCACACGCGATCACAGAGGCCATACCCGGCCCTTGAGCAACTACAACTACGACGAGGCCGTGATGAAAGTGCAAGAATGGAATGAAGCACTGAAGTGTACGTGTTCTATAGTCCAAATTGTCCATATCGCCACCTTTCTGATCTGGCATACCTCAGCTCCGCCACGGCCATCGCGGCTCCCAGAACGACAAAGAAACGGTGCAGTACTCGACTCATCCCCAATACCTTCTTCTGTGGTGCCAGCTTCCGCCAAATCACAGAATCCGCCCGGCCTACCTAATCAATTGGGGTTGAGTGCAACGCGTCAGCTCCATGCCAGCAAGGGTCCTCCAGTTACGCCAGTCTTGGGACACGTTCGCGAGACATTGCCCATGCCCTTTATTCTGCAACCTCCTGAGGAACAAACTGATAACTGGGACGATGATTTTGAGGAAGGAATCTCGTTGTCGAAGTTGCATGGTACGCTGATTCTATCCTGACCTGATACATGACCGCTGAGTCTCGTATTTGCCAGTCGCGGAGAAAACGTCAGCAGAAGAACAGATAGTTGACGTCGACGACAACGCTCAGACTATCCGCCCCACGCGTAGTCCACCAGGACCGTCGGCTAGCGTCCCTCTTCCTCCGTTTACAGTTGCTGAACCCGAGGATGAAAATAGCATTGAAGACTACTCGGACATCATCTCTGACGATGACACACTGATCCAGAAACTTGCAGATTTCAAGGTACGTGTGCAGAGCGTGTATCCGTGAAAGCGAGATTAACATAGCATTAGGCCAGGAATCCTTCTCGTCGCGGTCTCTTCCATCCGAACGACCTCAAGACTGTTGGTTTGGGTCCCCATTCTCCTGAACCAAAGATTGCTCCCCTACCAGACGTGACGCCCAGTCGTGCACGTCCGCCTTTGAACTCTGTCACTCAGTCTGGATCAAGGACGTCTGCCATAACCGACAGTGCACCTATGTATTCACGCTCGTCGTCGTACATGGGGTTTAATGGTGGTAGCGGCTCTTTCGGGCACATGGACTCGCGGCGACGTCAAAGCCCGCCTCAGTTTGGCAAATATGCCGAGGACGATGAAGAGAACTACGAAGATGTGTTCGGGAAAGCGAACGGTGCTGGTGTGGCAACTTACGTGATCCTGGTACAACATTGGAGCTAATGCTGCTGTCAATGCCAGCTTTACGTTCTGCACAGACTTTACAGCTGACCACGCGTCTGTCTAACAAATCATGGGTATGTAAACATTTCTATTCTGTGCATGTGATCGGGATGCTCATAGATGTCAAAGCTGGGAGATGACGATGACGAAGATGATCCTTTTGCTGAGGTGACGTCTCGTCCCTCTGAAGCCCACGTAGCCTGCTGAAGATTGCTATAGATTGACGAAGGCTTCTCGGAGGAAGACCTCGAATCAAATCTCCAGCGCGACAAATATGCTCGTTTGACGAATACCGTCACCGAGCTCATTGATCAGTTGACACCCTCTGCTCCGGACTTCCAACTACGTGAGGTGTGCGACCAGCTTGTGAGAACTTCACCTTTGCTCCCTCATCAGCGTACATTCTAACCTCCTTCATCAGCTCACTATCATGGCAGAGACCCCGGAGATACAGTCGCAGCTCGTCTCTGCGCACGGAATGTTAGCCATCTTGGAGGTTCTAGAGGGTAGATACTCTCGGGACGTCACGTTGAAGTTGCTTAAAATTGTCAATGCAGTAAGATCTGTTTTTTTCTCAACGAGATCCTACGTTTATTCAAGATAATCAAAGCTTGTCACTGCAGACATGGGTTTCTTGGAGAGCTTCTGTTTGATTGGGTGAGCAGTTTTTCACCATCGTGCGGCGGCCCATCTCATCAAATTTTAATGAAAGTGGAATCCCGGTCATAATGGGTAAGCTCAGTCCGATCAGGACGTGTGTATGATCTGATCTTCCGTTAGAATTCACGTCAAAGCGATACCCGCCAGAGTGTCGTACAGAGGCGTCGAATTTTATCCGCCTCTTGTGTCATTCGTCCGTCCTCACGTTGCAGATGTTCATAGCGTGAGGTTTTGTGATACCGCTGCGTATCATGATTGATGCTGATGCAATATCTCAGATGCCGCGGACTCAAGGTCTTGGTGGATCTACTTGACGAAGACTTTACAGAACAAACGGAGCTTGTCATACATGCGCTCAACGGCATCTGCAGCGTTTTTGAGCTGCAGAGTCCGACGACGAAGAATGATTTCTGCCGCATGTTCATCCGCGAAGGCCTGCTGGACCCATTGTCCTCTGCTCTTCTGAATGTCATGGCCGGTGAAGGAGACGTCGTGGCAGACATGAATAGAAAGATCATCCTGATATTGCTTGTGTTCTGCCAAGTATCTCAATCAGATATTCATGTACGGAAAGAACTTGGCACCCGCAAAATCGTGCGCCGTGAGTCGCTTCCTCCGTCCAAGTCCGAAATCAAGCTGACATTTTCTGGTAGGTCTGTTGAGAGCATGCGAGCTTCTGCAGCCGGAATACTTGGTGAACATGCTCAAGGCCGTCAAACACCTGTCCATGAATCCCTCTCTGCTGGATAACCTACAGAATGCCAATGCAATCGAGATCCTGGTCAGGATCCTAGACGAACGAAGCTCAGGTCCTTACGGGACGGTATGTAGCTAATTGCGTAATGAGGAATGGCTGGGTTGACAACGGATGGTTTGTAGGAGATGTCCAATCACATTTTCCAGACATGCTACAATCTCTGTCGGTTGAACAAGTCTAGGCAAGAGGAGGCAGCCCAAGCTGGCATCATCCCGAGCTTGAAGCGAGTGATCGAATCCAGCTCACCACTGAAACAGTTTGCGCTGCCGATCCTCTGCGATCTTGCCAGCGCCGGGAAGAGCTGCCGAACCTTGCTCTGGCAACATGACGGTCTGTCATTATATTTGCAACTTCTTGAAGACCCGTACTTCCAAGTAAGCGCGCTGGAGTCCATCCTATCATGGTGAGCCAAGAAGTGTATACGGGGATACGGTGAAATTAATTGCATTGACAGGTTGCAGGAAGAGACGGCCAAGATCGAGGATCAGCTCACTAAGCCTGAGGCATTAGAAGCTCTTTTGCAGTGCTTCGTCAATGCGAAGTCTAACTCCTTCGAGAACTTACTTGAACCGTTCCTGAAGATTTGCCGCCTCTCGATCAGCGTAACCGTCGGCATTGCAAAGTCGACGTTTTTCAAGCGCATCAATGATAAGCTGAGCAATAGCAAAGCTGTCGTGCGGCTGAACCTTTTGCGCATACTGCGAACCGTCTGCGAGGTGCATCCGAACCGAGCGATGTTGGTCGAGCACTACGGCATCTACGACATTGTCGTGAAGCTCAGCAAGGAAGACGGAGCTGTCCTTGTCCGCAAGCTCGCAAAGGAGATCGTGCCCTCACTCGCCCCTGCGCTCAAGCCTCCTCCGAGCAGGTCAAGCAGGAGTCCAGAAACTCCAAGGGCGAGCAAGAGCTCGCTCGCGCCTAGGAGGATGCGACGGACGGCATCCGAGTCGTCCACAGGTAGTCATGGACACTCGGCTAGCAGCAGTGGCATCCGTGCCATTCATAGGAACCCCATTGAATACCCCATACCCAGTTCTCGACACAAGTCGAATGACCTCTCGTGGCAGTCGGACCGAAATTAGGTTATTGTAGATGCCATGTCAGTGCATCGGACTGCATTCTCGCATACTTTTTATGTATTCAGAACATCATATCGCACTCATACGCTTGGTTCAGGGCATTACATATACTACGGATGGCTTCCTCATCATAGGTATTGATCTTTATACTGGCATTGTAGCATGGAATCATTACCACGATGGCTGGTTGTTCGAGCGTGCTCTGGGCCCTAGCTGTGCAACCCTCCACTTCTCAGAAAGTCACAGGCCCAAGAGACAGCTAAATTTGGTTTTCCGTGAGGGCATTGCGAGGAGGACAGGAATATCTGCTCGAGATGGGAATTCCAAGTACAGGGGAGGGGCAATTACGTAAGCCTCAAGGCATGTTTCGGTTTCTGGCGCGCGCTCCCCATTGGTTGTGTCCGCTCTTCCGTCACGCCTTCGCGCGCTCCTAACCTTATGATTCGGTCTTGACCATCCTGTTCAATTTCTGGCAAGAGATCCTTTGCTCCTCTCGCATCAATGAATGTGTTGCTGCAGCAACTGCACGTAAGTTTCCGACCATGTTTATCGCATCCTGGCCTCCTGGAAGGTGCACGGAACACGCTCCGAGACCGTCTCTCAGTTGTCAATCATGACAGATTTCCTCGCTACGGTCCGGTAGGATGCGCGGCGTTCGAACACCTCCTTACTGTTGATCCGGGTACCTTCTCCTCGATTTCTATGTGTCCCAGCTGTCTCGCTCCTGATTCATCTCGTACTCACATCCCCATTCTCAGCGTTGCATTTAGCATTTATCCATTTCACTGGGACGACGTCAATCCACGCCCCTCAGTACAGAGTACGTCTCAATGCATGCTCACTACCGCTGTCACCGTGACACAACTCGTACGCTCATCATCCATCAGCCCCCTCCTCTATTTGCCCTTGAGATCCAGCCAAATTCTCTTCCCGGACAGCCGCTGATAGACATAGAGACAGTGTGCATGATTCCTACTGATTCTGGACCCGCGCGCTACCGTTTGGCAGGTGTGGTGTACGCGGGAGATTTTCACTTCACCTGCCGTGTTGTTACAGGTGCTGACAAAGTCTGGCGCCATGACGGGCGAGCAACAGGTCGATCGTGTGAACTGGAATTTCCCAACCCCCTGCTGTTGATCTCCTACATGAACGTGGGCGAGTTGCTACCATAGTCGTGTACGTTCTGGATACATAAGCTAACACAGCTGTGCCCGTTAATACATCCTTCTTTTTCCCATGTTCGCGTTTGTCAAAGATCTACTGTGGTCTTACCGACCCGCCGATCTACCTATCTCCTGGTCTGCTATGTTATTTGGAACACGCACGGCTGCGCCAACTCCACCCAAGTTCGGTCTCAACGTGAGGCGACGAGTTGAAGAAACACGATCACGTGATTGACGAGTTAAGCGTTAAGCATATGTTCGAGTTCCATCAAAGTCAACCTCTCTATCGGCTTGTACTTTTGGACACCCGCCTTTCTCCGTGCACGTTGTTATTTGGCTCAAATGGACTCTGTCAGCTCTCTCGCTCGCCAAATTGCTGCGCTTGAGATTTCCTCGAAGCAGAACGCGGCCAGGCCGACTCATCAGAAGAAACCAAGCCCACCATTCATTTCGTCGTCGAAACTCCTGACAGAGCATGCGGCACCTAATCCGTTCCCGACATCCCACTCCACGACTAAGAGTACTTCATTAAAGTCTTTGGCGAGCAAGCAAACGACGCGTCCTCCGTCTCCAGGAAAGTCTGTGAAGCCGCCTGCCTTCGATATCGGTCGGTATGATGGAGGGTTTGAGATTGACAATGAGAGCAGAGGTGAGAAGGTGTACGGTGAGGCAGCGGAGGACCTTGCATTGGATTCGAGTGTGTGCGGGTGAGTGATTGTCGTCCGACGGCTTGGTAACTTGAACTGACGATCGCAGGATCCGTCCTACACGCGAGTGGCATCTCACAGACTTCGACATCGGCCGACCGCTGGGCAAAGGCAAATTTGGTCGTGTCTACATGGTCCGTACAAAATGCGAGCCCCACTACATCCTCGCTCTCAAGTGCCTGTACAAATCAGAGATTGTGCAGTCGCGCGTAGAGAAGCAGATCCGACGCGAGATCGAGATACAGCAGAACCTTCGCCACCCCAACGTCCTGCGCCTATACGGCTACTTCCACGACGAGAAGCGGATATTCCTCATGCTCGAATTTGCGGGCAAGGGTGAGCTGTATAAGCAGCTCAGCAGACACGGTTCTTTTACCGAGAAGCGAAGCGCGCGGTACATCGACCAGATGTCGGACGCGCTCATGTATCTTCATTCGAAGCACGTCATTCACAGAGATATCAAGCCAGAGAATCTGCTGCTAGGTATCAACGGTGAACTGAAGATTGGCGACTTCGGTTGGAGCGTGCATGCACCGGGCAATCGGCGGACCACTCTATGTGGAACACTGGACTACCTCCCGCCTGAAATGGTGGAGGGGAAGGAGCACTCGGAGAAGGTAGACTACTGGTCACTGGGCGTGCTGACATACGAATTCCTCTGTGGCTCGCCTCCTTTTGAGACGAGCGGTCAAAACGGTGATGTGACTTACTACGCGACGGTCAAGTCTGCCGCTGATGACTTATTTCCTCTACAGCAACATACAAACGTATCGCGAAGGTAGACTTGAAGATCCCGTCTAAGGTGTCGCCCGAGGCACACGATCTTATCACGAAAGTGCGTCCTGCGTTGTGTGGACTTACACGGCGATCCATCTTAATTGGCTGGAATAGCTGTTGCAGTACGACCCAGAGAAGCGAATTCCGCTCACTGAGGTGCGGCGGCATCCGTGGATCGTCAAATACAGGTCCAAGAGCTTATCCGCTGCTGCTCCAACCGCATCTTGATTTGAACTATTCGATACCACACTGCTCATTGCTTACCTTCTTGCATTCGGACCTGATTGCCTGCGTTGTTGTAATTCACTGCACCTCCTCACGCTAGTGATTATCTTGGACAAATGATGCTGTCTCCCTTGGCGCAGAGAACTTGCAGCTTCTTCAATCCATGCGCAAAGCCTATGGCGTGCTATTGCCTCTACGCGGACCGTCGCATGCCTCACGTTTACCGTTGCTCCGACTGCCGTGCATCTCGCCTATGGTCTGTGCGTACTCCGTCCATTCCAGGCGCCCGCCCGAGCCGGTGAGTCGATGCATCGCTCGATGCGATCTCGCGTGCACCCGGGGTCTTACCCTTTGCTAAGGTCACATCGGGCGTCGTCGCGCGTGCCTGTGCTGCGTTAACCTTACCTTTCGCTTCGCGCGATGTTATTATGTACGGCGGCATTTTTAATCTTTCTCACTTAGCCGACTCGATCAATATTATTGACGCACCTAGTCAAAATTACATCGACGTTCGCTGGTTGGTGCACTTTCCTGCGCGTGGATTGTGCAACTCGGTCGTGCCACAGTGTTCAGAAATCCAGGAGTGCCAAAGCCGCACTCACTGTTGCTGTCGTTGCGTCAGGACGAACTCTGACGATGCTGGCGTGAGTTGATGGGTGTTTGAGAACGTGGGTCCTGGATGATTGAAACCACTTGATGGGCGTTGATATGACTGTCTCTCTGGCCATTGGTGCGTTCAGGCATACCTGGTCGTATGAGCGTAACATGGTGAGCCTCAACGAGACCTTGTTCACTGATCTCTGATGCCTTCGTGCTAACCCGATCCGTGTAACCCATGTCCCCAGACGTCCTCTCTCCAACCAGGTTCGCTCTACGTCCTCCTCGACCTCCGCTCCCCCGACCTCTCCAACACGACCTTCCACTGGGCCCTCAACCTCCACCACGCCAACGCGCCCCGCGCCTCCGGCCACAAGTACCACATCAAGACGCTCGGCGATGGCTGGATCGCGGACCACGCGCCACTTGGCGGCGTGCTCAAGTCGTTCCTCCTCGTCTGCCTCGTCCGTGTGGCGTGCGACGTGCCCGCCGAGCGCTGGCGCGAGACGGAGGCCCTCATCAGGCTGAGAGACGGCGAGATTAAGATTAACGACGGCGGGATCACCTGTCGCATTTGGGTTATGAACGCCCTGGACAGGCTCAGAAATGCGGGTCTCGCTTGGAGGAAGAGCTGAATGTAACAGGGAACTCGCACAGGGAAAGAGCGATTAACAACCAGCAACCACGTCCGATCGTCGATTCTGCATTATCGTCTTGAAGAAGCTGGATGTTGGGGATTGATCAGTAGGACACAAAGATTGTGTGTAGAAAACCATAATATATATAAACTCGGGTACATGGAACAAATGGGTGCTAATATACAAGCGTACCATAACACGCACACTAGACCGCTCTCCGTCCACCAAACAGCTGTCGCCGAGCAACAAATTCTCGATACAATGGTAGTCTGTGAGAGGTGTACATGGTGACGCATGTGAGGACCAGAGAGCAAGCTGAGAGTGATAGACTGAAAAGAGAGACGAGGAGATGCGGCCTTGAGCCGCCATGCGTGCGTTCAACAACTGCCACCCCACCAGCCATCGTCCCGCCGTCGATCGACTTCAATAACACAATCACCACCACCACCAGCGCGATAAATCACGCGGCAGCGGCCAAGGAAGTCGGCGACGTGCTCGCAGACGTGTCAATGCCCATCTTCTTGCGCACTACCTCGAACGTCTTGAGCATCTTCCGCCGCGCGCCCAAGGCCGCGACGCCCTTGGCCTCCAGCGCTGCCTCGTCCATCATGACCATGTCCTTCCAATGCATGCCCTCGAAGTTCGGCGTGTACTTGTGCAGGCGCAGGCTGCGCAGCCATCCCGGCACATCGTCGAGCAGCTTCGGGTCCACCTCTTCCTCGTCCTTCTTCGCGTCGCGCACGCTCGGCGACTTGCCCGGCGAACGCGCGCTCCCTAGTCCGCGCCCGCTACGCGAGCTCGGCGACGCCTGCGCCAGGCCCAAGCCGAACGGGTTCAGGCCCGGCTGGCCGAGCTGGCCCGTCGCGATCTGCATCGCGAGCAGCTGCTCCGGACTTACGCCCATAGCCGCGAGGTTCGACATGGCCGCAGCGCTATTCATGTTGAACATGTTGCCGAACGGGCTCATGGGCATACCAGGGGCGAACATCCCCAGTCCACCTGCGCCAGGCAGACCCATGCCCAGTCCAGGACTTCCCATCCCCATCCCAAATCCGGCCATTCCCAGCCCGTTCAAATTGTTGCCTTCGTCGCTGAGCCTGCCCGATGTGTTAGAGAGCGCCGGGCTCCGCACGCCATTCCATCCCCCTTGTCCGCCAAACGCGTTTCCGTTGCCAGCCCCGCTGGCATTCCTCAAGCCGCCGTTGTTGCTGCGCTGGCCGTGCTGTTGGTTGTTTCCTTGGTTCATGCCATTCCCGTCTTCATTGTAAGTGTTGTTCTCGCTGCTATTATTATTGCTATTCCCTTTGGACAGACGGTTCATCCTCTTCGGAGGATCAGAGATGAGCGGGACTCCCCCACCGTTGGCGGTCCAGTCGTTGAGCTTGACTGCAGCAGCATCCAAGCTCTGACCTGCATCACGATTGTTCTTGCTGAACATCGGCATCAAAGGCGTGTTCACCATGCTCGCCCAACTGTCTCCTACCATAGGCGACAATGTGTCGTCAAGCTTCGGAGACTTGAACGCATTCGCCACACCGGAGAAGTCGGTGCTCTTCGGCCTCGAAGTACTGCTGGGGGCCGGGATGGTGATCTCTTGGGCGGGAGACGAAGAGCGTTCATCGACTTGCGCGAGCTGGCTGGACGGCGAGCCCCATCCGCGACTGTCCAGGGTCGTACCAAGCGCCGGCGCAGAAATGCGATACATAGGATTGCCGGCCTTCAGCTTCGCACGCTGCTGAGCAAGCGTGGCAGCAGGGTCATGGCCTCCGCCGGAGGACACGTTCGCTGCATCAGGAGACAGGAAGCCGTTGCTGTTCGACTCCCCCATCGAGGCACGGCTCCCGGAGAAGTTGCGTGCCGTAGGCGAAGCCGGGAACCCGGACTTGACTCCTGGAGACTTCAGGTTCATGCTGGCAAGTTTGGCCTCCATCTGGCTCTGCATGGAACCTAGCAATAATGGTAAGTCCGGTATTGATGCCGCTCAACTGTATATACTCACTGCCAACTGCCGGACTGAGCAGAGCCGTCATCGGGTCCGATCTAGCCATCTGCTGAAGCACCGTGATGAAGAACCGAATCTGAACCTGGGTGGAATGTTGCAAAAGACTGTAAAGAGCGGCTGTGCGCTCCGCTTCCGATAGAACCTTAAACCCTGCATGAAACACGTATCAGCACTTGGATATCGATTTATAGCACAGGCTACGCATGACGAAGAAAGATCATATCTCTAAAATGGTTTCGCGGTGACATTAGATGGTCGACGAGACTTACATTGTTCGATGGCGCTCAACTCCTCCTTGAAATTAACGTCCAAAGAGGCGGCAGCCATTTCTTCCTGATGGATTCGTCAGATACATTCGTAAAGATGCATATCATCATGGACTGCATACCAGCGTCACTTCATAGTTTTGGAAGGTTTCAAACCATTGATCAATAGCTTCGGCTGTAAAAGAGACTGAGAAAAGCATTCCATCAGAAAAAGGTATCTATATTACCTTCAGGAGTCTGAAACATGCCAGCACCGCCCAAAAGCTCGCTCGTGGGCCTGCCAGCGCCGGAGACGCCCCCAGGACGAGGAGACGCTGGCGATAACCCCTGGCTGCCTACAGAGGGACGAGCGGACGGCCCCATGGAAGCGCGGAGGTTCGGAGACCGTGTGTTGGCATTACCACCAGGGCCAGGAGAAGGGCTAGGGCTGGGATGGAGAGTAGCCATATCTCAGAGAATCAAGCGATGAAAAGTAATTATAAAGCGACGTCGAGTCGGCGGGAGTAGCTAGAATCAAGCAACACGTTGCTGAGGACGTGTAACGTTGTGTCTAGACAAGACCAGCGGAACCTGCCGGCCTAGGGAATGACAAGGTCGAGCTCGACGACTCGGCGGACGATGAGAGGGTCGAAGGATGAGGATCAAAATGAAGGGCGTCGTTGCCAGTTCAGCATCAAAAGCCGCGATCCAACGCCACAGACAAACAAGTGTAAATATCCCAAAGATGAGAAGTTAGAACAAGGGGGACAACATCAGACAGCATCAGACACTATCAAGTGTACATCATGGATGCGTGTCGAGACTCGGATGAAACGATGGACGTGGCGGTTGGCAAGGCTGTGAGCTAAGATTACCTCGGACAGGAGGAGAGCCCATCCAGCCTGCGAGAAATTGTTCAGAACTCAATTTTGCCACAGTGGCAGGGTTGAGAGGACTTCCCATAATTAAATATTCACAGACCCGAGCGTGGTATCCACGACGCATAGATGGTCGCTGACGGAGCTTAGAAGAATCGTTCAGGGCGGTTTCATATTAATCATGATGCGGCCAGCATCAAAGAGATATTCTGCACTGCAGTACAAGTACTGCCAAGTCGTTCTCACTATTTATGGTTCCATTCCGTGACTATATACTGAGCTGAATAATCAATCACGTCGAACGGAGAAGATGCAGACCGCAGTATAATGAACGCAAGCTGTCGGAGGATGATCAAGCATGATGCAGCTTGACCGTAACAGAGTCGAGGCAGCGAATAGAGGAGTTTATGATGTTGCGTTGCTTGATGGATAGCGCCACTGCGTCCACAGGACCAATTTACGCTGGTGTTGCAAACGCGACAATTTCATTGAAGCGTATAGGTAGCGGCTGAGTAGCGTGCTTCACGTATTCATGATTCTGGCCATGATTGGCTCTGTATGAGTATCGACAGCACAAGAAATTTCACGAACAAAGAAGTAATCACGCAGTTCTTCCAGATCATACGCCCTTTCAACAGAGGCTCCGAATCAGCAAAAACGGTCACTATACCGCATTTGAGGTCACACGACGACGAGCTACAGGTTGCAACAAATTGCATAGGTCGATTCGACGATCAGTTCAACAAAACGGAGACACCTAAAAGTACATGGCTAAAAGCTGGAGGTACGTATCGGGTCGAGAAGGAATCAGGAGTGGAGAGAAGACAGGAATTAGTAGAGAAGGACATACTACTTTGACAAAGAAAAGGCTGTTTGCAGGACCCATCCTCCCACCCGCCAACGGCTGGAAAGGTGAGGCACTGATGCTAGAATTACACGAGAACTAAGAAAATTGAGTGCCATAGCCATCGATGCGGCGACTGCTTAAGCAGACTTGAGCTCGGCCAGCTTCCTCACCTCGGCCGCCCTGCTCTCCGTCTGGAGGAACCATTCGACGGCCTTCTGTGCCTTGCGCTCCATCTCCTCCGCACCATGCACCTCGCGGCCTTTCTCCTCCATCGCCGCCCGGAAACGCTCCTTGAGGTCCCATGACGCCAACCGGAGTACCTTGCGCGTCTCACGACTCACCCGCAGCGCATGTACGTCCACGAATGCTGCGTCCGCACCACGCTCATCGGCCTCCCGAGCGAGCGAAGCCTTGATGCGCCGCCCGACCGTGCGCGGGATCGTGCTCGGCAGCTCCATAATGAAGTACGCCGTCAATCCGATGGTGACCGCGCCGACCACGGGGGCCGCCCACTTGCGCGCCGTCTCGTTTTCGAACAGGTCGCACAACCGCATGATGCCCTCAATGAGTCCGCGCGCGCCGAGCGTCTTTCCGCCGACCATTGTGAGCGCGCCCAAGCCGACTGAGGCGATGCTCAGTGCGCTCACTGGCGCATCCTCCTCCTCGCTCTCGGGTTTCTTGTCTCCAAATTTCATCCAGAACTGGTGGTGCACGTCGAAGACATCGAAGAATGTCGTCTCGAGCATGTCGGGGCGCTGCGCGAGGCCGATACCCAGGCCGTGCAGGCCACCCGCGACGACGGCGCCGCTGGGCGCCCGCTGCGACTTTTTGCGCGAGCCCTTGTCGGGACGCACGGAGAACATCGCCTCCGGCATGAACACCCTGCGTGGCCGCTCAACGCCCTCGGGCAGGTGCTCGTCGCCGAGACGCGAGACCCGATTGACGGAAGTCGTCGTCGTCACGCGCGCCTCGTCCTCTGCCATCTTGACAGCGATGTCCAGGCTGGCGAGCAGCGTCCGGCGCACTTCCTTCGCGTAATCCCAGATGCCGAGCAGCCCAGGGTACGACGGCAGGCTGAGCGACGCTTTGTCGATGCCGAGCTTGCCCTGACCAATGCGCTCGAGGGCGTTCGTGAGGAGATCCTTCGTCTTGGAGCGAGTGGTCGTAGCACCCTCCTCCTCTACTGCTTCTAGATTATCCTCCAGCTTCTCCCGTCCGTTCTTCATCTTCTCCCAAATAGGGCGTGACAGGCTGAGATCCTCGCGGGCACGTTTGAGCTCACTCTCAGCAACAATGGCATTGGCACCAACGAGGAGGTCGATGTCAGAAAGTATGTGGTGCAAGTAGGTCGACGCCGGCGCCAGCTTCGACTTTGAGCGCTTAACGAGCACGAATGATCGCAGCGACGACTCGAGCTGGTCGAACGAAGGCGTGCCGTTCTCGAAGGCTGCAGCCGAGTCGACAAAATGCACCAGATCCTCCGCATCCTTGTATGTGGCTGGGCTGAGCTGCTTGATCTGTTCAAGCACGAGGCGCCTGCACTTGGCCTTGTCACGAATCTGCTCGTACTTGTTCACAACAATGAAGATGTACGCCTTCTCCTTGCTAGCGTTGGTCAGGAACTCCTTCGCCGAAAGCGTGAAGTGGTTCTCGGCCGACACCACGAACACGACGACATCGATCTCCTCCTGGCGTGCAAACACCGCAGTGGTGTTGACGAGATCGCGGTTGAGACCCGGTGCATCAATGAGCGAGATATCGACGATGCCGTTGCTAAGGAGCGAACTGGCCGGATCGCGTGTGTCCGAAAGATAGATCTTCAGTATCTGCTGCTCGTTCTCGTTCTCTGAGACGATTGACTCGAGGTCGGACAGCTCCGCGCGAACGAAAGTCGACTCATCGTCGATCGAGTAAGGCACACCCTCTTTGAGGATGTGCACTTCTTCCTTCCCAGCGTTTTCCGCGACCGCGTCGTGCACTTCGCAGAACGCAGTGGTACATGGCTGCTGATCAATTGGCATGACCTCACGCCGCAGCAGCGCATTGACGAACGTCGACTTCCCCGCGTTGAGATCACCAGTGACGAGTACCTTGGACGAAGTATCTTCGACGCGCGCTCGTAGCTTGTCGATGTGATTCACAGCAGTGCTGATGCGCTCGTCCAGGAGGTTGGCAATGGAAGACTTCTCTAGCTGCGAAACGAGTGATGCGGGCGAAGTCGACGAACCATGGGCGCCGAGCTTGAGGTCGAGACGGAAGACGTGGAAGTCGGCGGAGTCGGAGGAATGGACGGAATGCAAGCCATCTTCATGCTCACTCTCCGCATCATCTTCCTCGGCGTCGGCGATGGAGGCGAGAGTCATGGAGCGAGTCATGCCCTTCCGTGCCGGTTTGACGACAACTTCCGCCTGGAAAGTGGGATCATCGGGGAAGGAAAGTGCACGACGAAGATGCGTGCGATTTTTCGGACTCGAGCAGTCCGTATTCGTTGGTTGTTCGTTGAGCTGAGGGTAGCGGACAACCCATGACTCCTTGTTGAAAATGCGCAGATCACCGAGTATGCCTTTCGCAGAATCAATGGCGTGCAGTAGTCTATTTTCTATATGAGCTGAGCTGCCAGACATTCGTTGCACTCCTACTCACCGATCCTTGTGCCCAATGTATTCCTCCTGCACCATCTCGGCATTGCGACTCTTCACAACGCCTTCGTCGCTAGGCAGGGATGATCGCGTGTGTGCAGCACCTTGCGCGTAGCGTGCGGACATGTTGTCGCTCTTGCACTGGCTGGGTGGGCCCGCTAATCCTCTAATCTCGTCGTCGTCGTCGATGTCGTCGTCGTTCGGATCAACGAGCAGATTAGTTCGGATAATGCGTAAGAAATTCGGAGAACATTTAAGCGGAGTATCAATCGAGTCTGCGGCATGTGATGCCGGTCCGCAAAGAAAGTCGGAGTTCGAAGATATGAAATTGACGCTCCGAAATCTTCCGCATGTTCCGAACGTTACCATATTAATAAGCTCTTGAAGTACGACTTATTTTCAGAATGTCTCAGAGGGCCTCAGCATTACAGAAGGATTTATTTTTACTCGCAACGGAAGGCATGTGGCATCGTCCTTGCCATTTGGATTAACGTTTTCTGTGTACAAATAGGAACCTCGGCCAGCAGAACGTTGGTGAGCGTTGGACCGTTACTGGCATGCATGGTACGTGCAATTGCTGCTGTTTCTTTCCATAAACTTATGGTCATGTATCTTATATCAGGCTCTGGTGGTGAGCTTGAACTCCAAAACATTGAAAGAAGACTGCGCATCCGTTAGAACAGTAGAACGTTGAACGTCCAATCAGCACTCAGTGGTAGCGTCAAGGTCGGCGCCCGACAGCATGCCTTTGACTCGTATCAACGTAATCTCGAAGAGAAAAAAGGATGATGTTTCCCTCCACTCTGTCATATCAGTGCATGACTTGTCAGTTTCGCGCGGGCACGCTAATTGGAGCGATTCTAACCAGGGCCGGGATGACCACACTGTAGATGGCAAGTGTGCTCTTTCTCGTCCACAGAACCCATACCACATGGGATGAAGCTTCGTTGGCTCTAGAAACGGCGCGGCCTATTCGATGCAGGCCTCAAAGCTATACATAGCTCATGTACCGATCAGCCACGGATCTGGTCTTGAGCAGGCCAATACGACTACATGGACTTGTATGTTCCTCAGCTTGCTATTTATGACTTGGCTCGCATGCACCTTATTTGACAGTGTCACCTCATGTAACGTTGCCAACCCGTCAACTCTCCTGCACTGGATGTGGGTCATACACACGAGCATCTTGATCCATTCATTGTCACGTATTGACGCCCCATCCTGACCTTTTTTTTCCATCCAGGCGAGGTATGAAGGGCCTCCGTGTGCCGTACAGTGAGAGGCATGCGTGCTGAACAAACCTCGGCCACAGAATGTCTGTGTAGGGTCCAGTGATGGTACCTGTTCATTCAGTCATGATTGATACCTCGTAGAATTATCGGACGTCCCGCGTCGTTGTTGCACGTTCCTGATAGACATAATAAGTAAGAACGCAGCCATCCTTGTCAGAACACGGCGTCTGGCAGTCTGCTTGGTCTGCTGGGCATCACGGAAGCATCGGTGATACAACGCATCGAATACGCTCGTGCCAGGTAGTTGGCGGAGTAGCCACAACAGCTAAATTCACATTGTTATGCATTCACCAATGATTCTACAATTCCCTTCGGATAGTTGATCGTGTGTGTACTTAAAGTTAATGTGAGCATGGAGAATCGGCCGTGATGCGACGCCGAAGCGATACTCTGAGCACTAGTACGGCGCTTGTTTCGGCGACATCTTACCCGTACGCAGCCTTGACGGTCTTGCGTCCCTTCCCACCTCTCTCTTCCCAAAGCCATCGTCTTTACATACCTGTAGAATCCGGCACCCTACAGCCGCTGAATTGCAGGACTGACGGCTTGCTCTAGACTTGCCGGTGCTTTTTCGGCGTTGATAACTGTCAGCCTGCGGAAACTTTCCTTGCGCAGTATCTCTTTAACTTATAATTGCTCTCAAGATACCCGTCTCTTTGGATATCTGACTCCGAGCCCTCGCCGCCTCTGTCGCTCGTTACATTAGATCTTTGCCAATATGGTGCGATCGGTCCTCTCCGCTGCATTCTTCCTCCTGCCGGTCCTGGTGAAGTGCCAGTATGACATGGTGAAGGAGTACACCGGTGACTCCTTCTTCGATGATTGGGACTTTTACAATAACTGTGCGTGCGCTGGGAAGGATCTTTGTCGATAGCGCTCACGTTACACGTAGATGACAACCTGACGGAAGGCGACGTCTTGCAAGTCGCTTCGTTGGCATCCGCAGCTCATTTATACTGACATCTGTGTCCCGCCATTTACAGCTTTGTGAGCGCAAAATCTGCCGGACAGGACAATCTGGCATACATCAGCGACTCTGGAAATGCGATCATGAGGGTCGACAACACATCGACGGTCACTGTCGGCAACAAGCGCAACAGTGTGCGAATCGCCACGAAGGACCACTTCACCGTGGGTAGTCTCTGGGTCACCGACATGGTGCATGTGCCATACGGCGTACGTATTGGCATTCTCCCCCCGCGAAGTCTACTGAATAGGCAACGCAGTGCTCGGTGTGGCCCGCCTTCTGGTCTTCGGCGGCTGATTGGCCGAACGGAGGAGAGGTGCGCTATAATGCGTGGTCGCCGATCCTCCAAGTCTGACAGTCGTGCGTAGATCGACACATTCGAGGGGGTGAATCAGGTGACGCGAAATCAGATGGCGCTGCACACGGAAACCGTGAGTGTAGCGATAAGATTGGTCGCAATGAGTAGTAACCCACAGTGTTGCAGGGCTGCTACCACTCCGCCAATGCGGTTCAAACAAGTACCCTCGTCAACTCCACCGACTGTTCGATAACTGCTGATGACAATGAGGGCTGCGTCGTCACCGATCCCAGCACCAGCTCGTATGGTGAAGGTATGCGGCATGTCAGTGATATCATTGTACAGAGTCTGATCAGACGCAGCGTTCGCTGCTGCCGGCGGAGGAATCTTCGTGACTGAATTTGCCACATCTGGTATCTCGTGAGTGCGCTACTTCACACAATCGCCAAGTTGCTGATGCACGTCAACAGAATATGGTTCTTCAACGTAAGCTACTCCTTGACAACGCGTGTGGATAGTTTTCTAACGAGTGAACCCAGCGCTCGTCCATTCCCAGTGTCCTCTCCGGTAACGCTAGCACGATTAATACAGGTGACCTCGGCACGCCCGTCGCTAACTGGCCAAGCAGCAACTGCACAGTCCAAAACTTCTTCGAGGACCAAGCGCTCGTGTTTGACATCACTCTGTGCGGAGGTTCGTTTGTGTTCTCTCACATTGCATCGCATCCATAATCACCGCTTACACCTGATCCTCAGACTTCGCTGGCGACCAAACGATCTTCGCAGAGACGTGCTCGGGTGTGTGCTACGATGACTGGGTGATCGGGACTCCGTCCAACTACGACAACGCGTATTTCGAGGTCAGCTATGTGCGCGTGTACGGCGAACAGGGCGAGGACACCGTTATTTCGGGTGCACAGCGCTCGACCCTATTCCGCCCAGCAGCAATTGCGACGCTGCTTCTAGGAACGGCCATGATATTGGCCCTGTAAGGGTTGACATTCACATTATTCCTACAGAGTCCCTCGCTTCCACATGCTATGCTACACATCATCTGATCCGTCACGCACAAAAGATGGACACTCACAAACCTAATATATAATCCGGACATACTATCTAGGTAGCTGATGAACCTCTTACTGTACATTCGTTCCCTTTGAGCCGGTGTGGATGTCCTTATGCCTGCCGAACATATGCTTTCTATGGTATCCTACTTGTTGTGCGAACGCTCTCAGCTGGAAGTTTTCACTCTCTGGAGTTCATGTTCCCGTAACCATCCGCGCTTGACAGGCCCGCCAACAGGCACGCAGTCGCATCTGTGGCCCACCTGATCCACTCGCGTCGTGGAAGATGTCGATGATCCTTCCTGCCCTAGAAACCTTGCATACAAATCGCATCCCACCCCAGTGGGATGGCATGCTATCATATCGATGCATGCCAGATTTGTCCTGAGACTGAGTAGTCAGCGACTCACGCGGGGAACGCACTGGCGGGACTCGGCCTGCTGAATAAACAATGGCGCGGCGGCCAATTATAAAGTTAATGCGGGGACGAAGATAGACCATCCCTCAGACTGTCATGGAGGAGCACATCACGGATTCTGCACGGCTGTTCAGCGTTGAGGGGTTGGTGGCCGTGGTGACGGGAGGCGGTACAGGTGGGTAATTATGATGAGAGGCAATCATTCAGACTTTATGATCTTACGACTCTTATGAACGCAAGGCATCGGGTTGATGATCGCCACTGCGCTGGAGAACAATGGTGCCGTCGTGTACATCGTAGGGCGGAGGATGGAGGTGCTCGAAGCAGCGATCAAGTCGCATAGCGTAGGTCTCTCGAACTTGCAGTCCTAGCAGAGTTCCCAAGTTTCGCAACTCACATACACTCATGCACACAGCGCCGACGAAACATGATCCCAATCCAGGGTGATGTCACAGATCGCGACTCTCTGCGTGCCATTGCAGATTCCGTCAAGGCACGGCACGGCTACATTAACCTACTCGTGAACAACGCAGGCGTGATGGTAAGCCGCCAGCCGAAGCTCCCGAAGCCCGGCGAGGCGAGCATCACAGAGTACCAGGAGCTCCTATGGAACTACGAGACGGATGAGACGTTCGCAAAGACGTTCCAGGTGAACGTCGCCAGCGTCTGGTTCTGCACCGTGGCGTTCCTCGAGCTCCTGCACAAGGGCAACGAGCGCAGCGTGGCATCGGGCATCACAAGTCAGGTCATAACGATCTCGAGCCTTGCAGCGTTGCGGAAGGATTCGGATCTGTTCAGCTTGTCGTATGGGCTTAGCAAGGCAGCGGTGACGCACCTGGGTAAGACGATGGCGCACTACTTCAAGGACTGGCAGATCCGGAGCAATATCATTTGCCCGGGCATATTTCCCTCAGGTGCGTGTACTGCACAGTTGAATTGTCTTTGATTTGACAAATAAATTCAACGTAGAAATGAGCGCAAGTGTTGCGGACGAAGAGAGGCTCAAGTCGACTATACCCCTGCAACGGGTCGGGGGCATAGATGATATGGGAGGTCTCGTGCTCTATCTGGCTAGCAAGGTAGGCCATGAGCTCCGGATCGCCGTGGCAGTGAATGCTGATCGTTTGTATCTCCAGGCTGGATCATACATCGATGGCGGCGTTCACCTCATTGATGGAGGTCGACTACTTTTGATGCCTTCTGTATTCTAGAAGAGATGTTGTAGAGACCATTTGTATAAGACTTGTTGTACAGCACATTACAATTACCCTGTGTATTTGATCGAGAAGAAAGGAGCCCTCATGGCCAGACAATCACTTTGAATGCGCATAGGTAGCCTCCAAACGCGATTTTACATATTCTCCGGCAGTCACGACCTCGTATTTGGCGGGATTGTCCTCTGAAACACATCCGGGCAGCGGCTGCAGATCGAGTCAACTAAGCATGCAGATTCGCGCTGCTGGCTGGACAAGCATCTCACCTCTAACTTCACGTTATAGTCCGTACCGAAGAACAAAGGGATGGAGTATCGCTCGACGCCAGAGCGGTTCACCGCTCTGTGCACGGTAGATTTGAAGACATCGTCTGGTGGACAGTGTCAGCAGAGCGAACTGTAACAGAAGCCCGTTCGAGAGACATACTTGTCCATCTAGCGAGCTGATCGCCTATACTGGTGATAATTAGCAACGCTGATCAGAAGACGGATAAAATGAGACATACTTTACGACGAGCGTTCCAGGTATAGGGACAGCATCGATCCATTTCCCATCCTTGTTCAAGACTTGAAGAGCTTGCACCTTGTCTTGCCACAATAAAGTGAAGCACTGTACATTTCGTCAAACTCTAGGTATACCCTTTAGATGACGTGAGTCTCGCCTCATAGCTATTGACCGTATCAGATGATATATATGATGAGGATGTACGCGGTCACTCACTCCGTATGTGCACCAATACCCTCGACACGATCATCGACGGTACCCGTTTGGGGTGGGTAGTAGAGGAGGCGCATAATAGCCGCAGGCTTTGTTGTCTGCGCAGGTGTGAGGCATGCGCTGATGGAGTGATCATAAACAGATATCACCTTGTCATCGAAGAAGTTCTCTGGAAGATTAAGCGCGAGCGCAAACAAGGGGAAGAGTAGTTTTCCCAACTCGACTGCAGCATGGCTAACCACCCCAAGTCAGCTTCCAGCTGTACAGAACGACAGTACACGTTACTTACTAGTACTCAAGACAAGCCTCTCTGAACCCAGGAAGGTTGTCCGGCCACACGTTCTGCCCGGCCATAACGCCATCGTCTTGCCGGCCGCTTCCGGACATCTCCTCCCAGCCCAGGTCGAACCCTTCATGCAGGTCGCCGCGGTTCTCCAGGTTGGTGTTCTCTCCCAGGAGAGCTGTGTATCCCTTAAAATTTGCGGTCTTATGGATATCCAGAGCAGCCTTCGTCTCGAGCGGTAAGGGGAAAAATTGCTTGGCTGCGTTGACAGCACCGTCGACCGCCGATTGAGGGATGGTATGGTTCTTTACTGTATAGGGTTGAGAATCAGTGCTGATGTTAGTCCCTCAAAATCGTTGGCAGTTACCTACCATACAAGAACCCGACATTGACGCATGCGTCCCGTATGTCGTCGGCTAATGCACGTCGAACCGCGGGGTCTGTGCTACGAGCGTTCTGCAAATCACTGAAACCGTTATATCAAACTCGTAAGCGGATCTTCACATCAATTAAACATGCAACTCACATGATGGGGATCTTCTCGAACGAACCATCTTTGCTCACAAGAGGGTTCGAAGACGTCTTCGGGAAACTCTGAGAGGCCGTCCTGGCAGTCTGAGAGGCCATCCTGGCAGTAAGGAGGAATCGTCGTCCCTGACGTCCTTTTCAAGCAGTCGACGCTTTAAAGAGGTCAACTTTATCAATTCCATGATAAGATGTCGGATCAAGCCTGGGCGCCCAGCTCACATCCAGGATGCTCTATCGCGTGAGCCAAGACTGCCGCGGATAAGATACGAGAAACTCTGTCCGCGTAATGAGCAACGTTGGCTAGCTAGCGGGAAACTCTGAAACGTAGAAATTGGGGAGGGACCATGGTGCTAATGGCAGCCCGATCTCACAGAACAGACGTCCGCCGTGGGCGCGCCGCGACGCGCCCACGTGACTGGAGACGCTGTGGCGCCAATATTGGAACACGTTCGACGTGTACGACGTTGCTGAGTGCCATAGTTTGCGACAGCAGAAAAACCACCTACGGAATAGCACCTCTCCCCCGGAATATCTTGGCTTGACGCGCCACACTGATATTCTTGCCGTAATTCGACACTGTAGATGCCTATGTCAAAATGTACAGCAAACTTCGTAAGTCTACACCGACTATACATTGTCAACGATGACTGAAGTGAAACGGTATCTCGAACAGCTCGTTTCAGTTTCTCCGCCACCCAAGTTGAAGAGGTGAAGATGATTCAATCGAGTCCGTGAATGGATCTATGATTGGATCCTAGTTGAAATCTCTACACGGCACAGACAGGGTGCGCGAACAGGAAGCGTTGTCGATGATTTCCGCCCACGCCATTGGCCTACCGGTACCATGGACGCTTCCTATGGAGCTCACGGAAACGGCAAACTTGGGTCCATACTGATGACGCGTCTCAGGCCAGCTTATAGTGATAGTGCGGTATCAGTCATCGACAAGTAAGATCGAATCCAAGACGGAGAACCCGGCCGCCACGCCACCTTCGTTGCTTTCCTTTCCCTTCGTTCTCAATAACCACCCCACCTCCTTCTCCTTCACTTCCCCATCTTTCCCACCGAACAGCGCCCATCCAAAAATTCCCAGCTCACTAATGACATCCGCCTGCACCGCGCCCTCTGTCCCCGCGCCTGCGCGCACCAAATAGTTCCCCAGTCCCTCCGGCGGCGCAATCAACTCCATCGCGATCCACGCTTCGCGCTCCTTGGTCGGAAGGTCATCGAGGAATGGCGGGATGGCTTCCTTGTACACATTGTTTCCGCCACCCTCGCGCTGCGGCTTCAATACGAGACGCTGCGCGAGCATATGTGCCTTTTGCACGCCGCCATTTTCTTCGAGGCCCCACATCGCCATCCAGCTGGCGCGCAGCGCGTCCACGTCCTCCTGCGGGAGCACGCCGCTCCCCCACCGGGACGCGTCACAGAGGAAGCCTTCCAGCACACCGGGGCGCGTGAGCACCTCCTGGACCTTCTTGCCGCCTGCGAGCTGGAGCTGGATGGACGGACACTGGATCGCACGCGAGCTCTCGAGCAGGTACCGTGTGTCGTAGTGTGCAGGGGTGGGATAGTCGGTGGGCGTGTAGCCTGCGCGGAAGTACACGACCGCAATTTCTACGGGCCCAGTAGATCCAGCAGGTGGGACTATGCAGAGCGCACAAGTGGATGGATCGACAGTAGCAGAGTGTGCGAGTTGATTTAGGCTCTGTCGCACAACGTGGATACCATGTCTATGAGTCAATATAAGTGATTGCAACTAGCGAAGCAAACGTAATCCCTTACGTCTCCAGCAGCTCGTATTCGAGCCACCGCTGGTCAAACACGTTCCGCTCGCCCTCCTGAACTACGAACAGGATGCGGGCACTGAAGATGGGGATTTGAGTACTTGCGTCCCTCAAGAATTAGGGGCACTCACTTTGGGACCCCATACGCCTTGTGGGCTTCAGCGAGTCCCTCAGCGAGTCCTGCAGTGGTCCGATTAGAAGGAAAGTTCGCTTCCTTCAGATGCCCGGAAGCATTATAATACTGCGTGGATTTGTAGAGATATCTGTTTGAAGTTGAACAGCTTGATCTATGAAACCAAGTGCAGGCCTACTTGTGCATACCGGCAGCTCGCTGAGACAGTGTACCGAATGAAGACGAGATGGTATTGAATTCAACTTGCTTCAGCGAGGCAGGCGTGCCATCGCTTGGGGCGTGTAGCATATAGTCCGACCGGAACATACCCAGTTGGAGTGGCTGAGCAACTGAGGTTATTCATTTAAGTCTCCGGTAGGAACGAAACCCACCTCGTACCTGGACGACCCCCTCATCTCGCAATCGCTTCCATCGTTTCCATAGCTGACCGGTGAACAGATCCACCTTGCCTACACCTTCCACCTCGCCCATGATGCGATCGAGGAATTTCTCATCCATTGCAATGCGCGCATAGAGGACGTTGTACGCCCGCTGCAGTCTCTGCGCGTGCAGGAACAACCCTCGAGGAAACGGCGACGGGAAGAGCGCGAGAGGTGCATGGATTGCAGACGTCGGTGCTGGAGGCTGCTGTGTAGCTACTGGAAGATATATTAAGCCATGAGACAGAGCATATGTTGTCGCCAGTAGCGTCAATTCCTCCAGCTGCGAGTGGGTGAGGGCCGGAGGCCATTTCGATAAGGTTGATCCAGACATCCCAGCTCACTCGCGATCGACTGCAGGATGAGTTCAGATTGTCCAGAGAAGCCTTTGAGATACGTTTCAAGGCCTCGTGAGGACGGGAGATGATGGCGAGAGAAGAGTGCAAGTCGAAGTTGCCGTTATGGATGTCGCGGCAAGACGGACTCAAAGAGTTGCTCAGTCATCATTACTGTGCAGAAGGCGGCCACCAGTGAATTACGTTCAAAGACGAACACCTCATGCTTTCCAGGAGCAGCAGGCATCTGTATACTCAGAAGGGACGATGAGATCGAGAGATATAGAACCGAACCCGGGTTGCATATCGTGGTTATTCCGAGAGCAGATGTGTCAATTGCGACACGATAATTTGCTCCGGGGCACTGACCGCGCTGATATCTTCTGCATACAGCTTCTCTCAGGCTTCGTATTCGAGTTAATGTGAGGGCTTCTCCTCGATTATTCATGCATATGCATGATCAGCGTCTCCTTGTGGCACCTCGGCCATGCACCCAACACGCATACAGATACAAACATCCCCCCCCCCTTGTCATTGTCTCCTGCTTTCCAACATCGCTGAGCCTTCTACTGAAGCATCCACACACCACCAGTCGCCTTAGTCCTCAACTATGCCTGAACTCAAGCTATCCTACGTTATCCTGTTCGAAGATGCCACCGTCAGTAACGTCAGCACGATTCGCGTTGAAGACTCGTTGGATTTCACGGAAGTTCATGACAAGATCTACGAGAAGGAGAAGTTTATTTTAGAGCGTCGCAAGATTTCCCCCTCTGAAATTTTCATCTACAATGTGAGTTGTCCTCTCATCATCGCAACGGTGTCACTCTGACTGAGCATTAGCCTCGTGAACTGAACGCTGCTCCATTTGATGGCCTGGTCGATCGTGTGAAGACGAGTGTAGAGGGTTCAGACCCCACTCCCCCCTTGGATGAAGTCAGCTCGATCTTCCCTAGACCGAACCCACAGGCGAAGTTTGTTGATCTTGTGCTCGTGGCACGTCCTCCAGGTGAGCCACCATCCAGATGACCTCACGTCGTCGTATCTTCGGTGGTGTCTGCTGCCACTCTCCCTGGAATTGTTCTCAAACATCCTGATATCTTATCATGTTTCCCACAGCTATAACGGGGCCTCAACATGACGCAGGGACGCCTGTTGAGGACCCGGAAGTTGTGAAATTATACCGAGATATCATTATCCAAGTACACAAGTGGGGCGATTACACGGAATTAGACGTGATCCAGAACGAGATAAAAGCGAACACAGAAATCCCAGTTCCAAGATTTGTTGCGGAGTTTGAAGAGAAGTTGGATAGCAACCCAGGTGTGGCCCCTGATGTGCGTGATTTCCTTGAATCGTCCACCTGTCTTTCAATTCTGAAGTCGATGTAGATGCTTGAGGCGTTCAAGGTTATACTCGGTGATCAATACCAAGCTGCGTATTTCGGGTCTCTTACAAACTCAAACGCTGCGGAGGAGCAATCCGGGGCACCGGCCGCCGGTGGTGAGGAGACCGCTGAGGCTGAGGATGAACATCATAACAATCGGACACAACCATGGCGCCAAGCCGACCGACTCGAGCTGATGCATATCGCGGACATTGCATCCGAAAATTGGCAAATGTTTTGGACGAGACCTCTTGCTTTGAAGGGAGATATAGCGCATGCCATCTTCTTTCTGAGGCTCATGCTTCATATTCCACAAGGACGGATTACACCTGTAAGGTATGTGTGGCCTTGATTACTTGCGTTCGATCATGACTGTCGTTCCTATAGAAGCAAGTCGCAAATCACTCTTATCCTGGAAATTGCAGGTGGCGAAGGTTTAGACGTGAAAGAAAGATATCGCACGTATAAGCCTGTCAGCGATTTCCTCATCATGAAGTCGAAATTACCTCGACAGCTTACAGAGGTTGATTCGACCGGATTGGGAACTGATTGGCCAGTGGATAAGGCGCGGATGTTTCTGACCGGTGCTGCCTTCGTCCGCTTCGCAAACGCATTCCTGAACACATTCAAGCTGACGAAAAATTTTGTCCTTGTTATCAATTTTCTTCGGGGCAGTGGTGAAGCATCACGCTACACTCTTTTCCAACGGCCGAATGACCGGAAGGTATGCCTTTTTCATAATGCATAAGGTCTCAGGCTGAGCCATCGCAGGTTTACTGGAGAGAGAGGCGTTTCGAGTTGACTACACCAATTGGCCGTGTCGAGTTTGCACGTCAGTTGTACAACCATGTTCATATGCTCCATGATAGTGTGGAAGAAGAGGAAGACACGCAAGAGAACACTGAACTGCTCAAATTTAAGATCGAAACGCAAGCCAAGAAGTTTGCTATGAAGTCGGTTCATACAAGGGGAACCAAGAGGAAACATGAGCCAGACAACGGTAACAGCAATGTCGCTGGCGGCGGCGGCGGCGGCGGCGGTGCAAATACAGCAGCGGCGGCTGCAGAACTGAGAGCGCACGGCTACGAGGTCAAGCCGGAAGTCATTTGGGATGCAAGCGGCGGTGCATTGGAGCCGCTTTTCAAGGTATGTCAACCCTTGGCTACAATAATATGCTGGGCTGACGCCTAATCGTCAGATGCCGTCTCATATTCTTACTGTGTATCGACCATCAGATCCGAGTACTGATCTCATTGCAAAGGAAGTCGATGAGGGGTCGAACGAGCTTCAGATCCTCGCAGATATTCGTTGCCTCTCACCGGCGTCTAACCACGTCGTCTCCTTGCTCGATTCGTTCCCTGGCCAGGCAGGCGCATGGGCCATTCTGCCTAAAATACCGAATTCCCTTGCGGATTATCTCGCACTCGCTCCTGACGAACTTCGCGGCAACGTTGTTGAACTCTGTTTGGGCCTCATCGAGGGCCTTACGTATCTTCACGAAAATCTCTTCGCGCACAGAGACATCAAGCCCGCCAACCTTCTTGTCGACCGATATTTCTGCTTGAAAATCATCGACTTCGACGTCGCGGTTCGTCTACGTTATGAAGGGGAGAAGGTGACCGGCTATTGCGGGACGGCGGGCTGGATTGCCCCCGAGGTCGAGAAGGGGTTGGAGTACGATCCTATCAAGGCTGACTGCTGGTCATGTGGATGTGTTATCCTGCATCTGTTTGACAGACTCAAGGAAAGTGACGAATCTTTGAGGATTTTTGCGGAGGAGCTGAAGGCGAATGACCCAAGAGATCGCCCGCAGCTACGCGAATGGGGCGCGCCGGCTTCGCCACTCTCACCGGCTCCGCCACTCTCACCGGCCTCGTCAGCCTCGTCAGCAGCCTCGCCGGCCTCGCCAGCCTCTCTAGTCCCACCGGACTCGCTGCCCCCTCTAAATATGCCCAGAAGTAGCTTTGATGATGCTTGGCAACGCCGAACAGAAGTCGTTGAAGACCATACAGAGGATTCTGATCCGCCAGCGAAGAAGATTAGGCACGCAAAGCCTGTGCGAAACGCGGCTGCCGGTCGCAAGAACATCAGAGGGCTTCGAGCAAGCGAAATTCTGCCGTAGCTCTCTGTGGTTGTCTGTAGCACTCCGTAGCTCGGTATCATGTCTACGTCTGTAGCAGTATGTAGCGGTCGATAGCAGGCGGGGGCGAAAATTGCCCGCACGGACTCGGAAGCGTGCAGGGGGTTTCGCTCTCCGATCATGTAGCACGGTGGCATCTCGCGCGTATAAGAAAAGCAGAATGTGACATTCATGTAGAGACGAGATACACATAAGACCAATCTGAGACCGAGATCAAGCAAGTATCATGCAGACTGAGGCCAAGACCGAAAACATTGAAACGGACCAGACCATAAACTACAGTAGCGGGAGTGAAAATCAGCACTCGGTCTCTATCACTGATATATAGGTGGCACGATGTCGTACAAAGTTTAAGAGCAGACCATTACTGATTGACTTCAAGGAGAGACCAGCAAAGCAAATGTAAACGAGAAGTGTGATAATCGCATGAGAACAGTGTCTCTGCACTCCCAAACAGAGAGACGGGGTGAATATCTCAGTCTCGTTCATATGCGTCATGAGTGCATTGAAGAGATTCGGTGTTGACTGGCGGGAGCCTCGCACTCTTGAAGTAGCATCATGGCAACCCTCCAAGGCTCCAACGGGCTGACACTATTCATGGCGTTTGAGTCAGCCTAAATATCTGGCAATGTATTCATTTGTCACGGTTCATCTTGCGAATCAGCAGATTACCATGATGAACGTGCGGGACTATGAGCAAGCAGCGATCCAAAAGGCGATGTATACGTCAGCTCAAATGCAAAAAAGCACATACAAAATCTGTGAGCTCACTATATACCGACTTGCAGCACTTTAAGTGCGACGCGTCGAGAGTGAATGAACGCAAAAAACATAACCCTCTGCGCCACAGACGCGTCACATTAGCGCCCATTGAACGCGTGACGTGATGAGAGTGCGCGCCTATCGGCCGCAAGCATAACGCAATCGGTGCAACGCCGATCGCCTAGCACTGGGACGTCTCTCTGTTAGCTTCCACCATCATCAATGGCTGCCCCGTCGACAGCAAAGTAAGGGCGCTATCTATGAAATTGTGAGCCTGGACTTACATTAAAATTAGGACAGTTGCATCATGCATTTTCTGCAAGATTGTAAAGGGTGGGTGGAAATGAAGTGCACCGTGACTTCATTCGGATGCTGGACGATCGGTTGTTTCTGACGATGCGATGAACAGGAGAGATCCCGAGTTTCAAGCTGATCGAAACCGAGACTTCCTACTCGTTTCTCGACGTAAATCCCCTTGCGAAAGGCCACTCCCTTGTGATCCCCAAATGTACATCCGTTATGCTCCTCTTGAAGTGGAACAACCCCTGACGGCCGGATCGCAGATCATGCTGAGAAGCTGCATCAGCTGCCTGATGAGGAGACGAAGGACCTCATCGTTATCGCAAAGAAGATTGCGGTCGCACAGGGGTTCGAGAACTACAACATCCTCCAGGTCAGTATCTTCTTTCCTCTTCGCAGTCTTCGGCTCATTATGTGTATGTGGCAGAACAATGGCCGCATCGCGCATCAAGAAGTTGATCATGTTCACTTCCACGTCATTCCCAAGCCTTCCGCCAGCGATGCCGAAGGCCTGGTCATCGGCTGGCCTCAGCAGAAGATCTCGATGGACGAGCTCTCGAAGCTCCACGAGGAGATCAAGCAGAGGCTGTGAACGCGCGGAAATCTCGTTTATGTGGATGAAGTTGGAATGTGCGATAGTGTTATAGGTCTGAGATGCCGGATAGAATGCTCAAGTTTCTTTCGTCGTCTCATCGGTGGGTCAAGGATGAGCGTATGGCTCCTGTATTAAACGTACACGAGCAAGTTGAGCGCTGAGTTGATACGGGGCGGCCAATATTCATCAGAGCAGATGGGGTCGCTGTAGCGAGGCGAACTGGCAGGTCGCGGTGCTTATGTCTGAAGAGAAGTCTCACTAGCATGTTAGTATGTAAATATACAATTCATAAAGTTCTGCATGCACATTACACACGCTTCTGGTTAATCTCAAATCTTGCTTTACGCAGCCAGATGGAACTTTTGTAATATTTGTCAAGTCACTTCCTATGGAACTGCACTCACCAAGATATATGATTGATGCTACCTTACAGCTCGTATGGAAACAAACGTCTAGTGTGGCTTAGCACAATGATGATAATCGCCCACTAGACAGAGATATCTTGCCTATCGTCTCTACCATTTGGGCACTTCAGTAGCTAGTTTCATACGAAATTCAAGCGAGCTGCTGTTTGGCAGGAAACCAGTGGACACCGCTGTTTTGTGTCCAGTATATTTCAGTAGCAGGCCGGGCCGCAGCCTGAGGGCAAGCAGTGCTAATGCAGCGCCACAGACGCGTCTCGACGCGGGCTGGCTAAGCGCCCACTTTTCCCATCCACGACGATTCTCTTTCCTTTCGCGAGCAACTGCACCGTCGGTTTCGACTGCACCGACCACGTCCACGAGTTTCCTGCACTTTCCATCTCCTGCTGTTTCCTGCTCTGGCGCCTCGTTACCTCCGCCAATTCATTTCGGATGTGGCACATGAGCGGCCTTATCAGATAACAGAAACGAAGCGACTTCAAATGCAGTGACTCGGCGGCGAACCCGAGTCCATCTCTTCTCTCTGTGGACTGTACTGACGGCAAACCCGCCGTAAAGATGCTAATGCTATACTTCCTCGGCTTCAGCCTCCTTTACATCGTCTACGAGCGGTTGGCCCTCTCCCCTCTCAGCCGGGTCCCGGGACCGCCGCTCGCAGCGATCACCCGGCTGGTGCTCATGTACTACGAGTTCACGCGGCAGCGGCGGCGGTGGGTGCACGCCTTGCACATGCGATACGGGCCCGTCGTGCGGATTGCTCCGAGCGAGGTATCGTTCGCGACGTGGGATGCGGTGAAGGAGATATATATTGTCGATGGGAGCGGGTACGACAAGACGACTTTCTATCGAATGTTTGATAACTATGAGACGATGTACGTTTGTGTTTGGTGAGATGGTGAGTGCAACTGACGTGCAGCCCGCAGGTGCATGTTCTCCACTATTGATAAAGTGCCGGTGAGCTCAATCGAAATCCGTCCGCGGATGGAGCCTCATGACCATGTGCATAGCATGGAGAGAGAAAGAAGCGGTTCGCCGACCGCTACAACAAGTCATACATCATGCAGCCAGAGACGATGACTGGAATACAGGAACGCGCAGAGCAGTTTGTGGAGAAGTGCACAGAAAAGCCTGGAGCCCCTGTCGACATCTACGTCCGTGTTGTCAGTCCCGTCAGCGTTACGACTGTTTAAACAAGTCCACAGATCTATCTACACTGCTACGCCCTCGATTGCGTCACATATCACCTTTTTGATCCCTTGGGAATGCAGTCTCTCACCCAGGCCTCTGACCTTCTGCGAGTGAAGGAGCTCTCCTACCACGACAACATGGCATGTCCCCTACCACTTCCTGCCGCCCAATTACTCACCTCCCGCAGCCAGAGTCCTATCTTGAACACTATCTAGGTGACTTCCCACACATCGCGCGCCTTTTCCGGCGGCATGACCGCTCCAAGGTGCTCTCCACGCGTGTCCTGTCCATCGCGCGGCGCTCCGACGTCGCTGCACACACAGTGCTCCACAAGCTGCAGCACCTGCGGGACCCGCCTCTCGACACCAAAAGCATCGCGTCGGAGCTCATGGACCACACCGTCGCGGGCATCGACACGACGGGCGACGGACTTTGCTTCCTCATGCACCACCTTTCGCTCCCTGCCACCGCCCCCGTCCAGGAGAAGCTCCGCCGCGAGCTCGCGGAGAACATTGGAGTGCCCATAGACGACCTGGCGTATCTCGATGCGGTGGTGAAGGAGAGCTTGCGGTGCTTCTCACCGCTCCCGATGAGCCTCCCGAGGCGGGTGCCGAAGGGCGGGCGCACACTCGCGGGTGTGTTCCTTCCCGAGGACACCGTCGTCAGTGCGCAGGCATACACGCTGCATCGATTCGATACGACGGTGTTTCATGACCCGGACGAGTTCATCCCCGAACGGTGGCTCGAGCCTGAGGGGACAACGGAGCGGAACCAGCTGTTCTTCGCATTCGGTGCGGGCGGAAGGGGGTGTATTGGCAAGCAGTGAGTGTCTGAACTCTAAGTGTGCCATATCTTTAGGTTGCTTATGGACACTAGTTTAGCTTTGTTGGAGATGAAGATGCTCCTGCGGGAGGTGTATTCGGCGTATCGCACGAACGTCGCGCCGGAGATGAAGGCATCCATGGAGCAGGACGACCAGTTTATCTCTTCTCGGCCGAAGGACCAGACGTGCTTGGTTACGTTTGAGAAGGCCATATAGGTATGTACATTTCCACCACCTCTAGAGTGCAAGAGGCACAGTCAGCAGTTGCCTCCATTTATTTGATGTATGCTCTAGCATATTTACAGAATCAAAGTGATAACTATTATAGTGACGCGATGGCTTCAGCTCATCGATCAGCCAGCTAGAGCGTGAGACCTCTTGTATTCTCCACACTGCCACTCCTCTTCATTACTATACTGATTTTGATCTTCTTATCGTGTGCCACATTCATTGGGATGGATTTTTCTTCTGAAGAAAGACGTACTTACTATTCGTACGACAAAGTAAACAAGTACGAGTCCTTCCGCAACGATGCAAGGCTCGATTACTTAAATGCACAAACGCACAGCCCGCGACCGTCAACTTAAATATCTTCGCAAACGTCTCATTCGTCTTTGTATTTCCACGGGTACTGCGGATGCTCGGTGGGGCTCGCTTCACCCGGCTTCATACCTTTGGTGGTGGCTCGCCGCCATGAGTTAGTTTCCTTTGGCGCGAAGAGAAAGCGGTGCAAGGCCATCGAAAGGCTCATTCAAGCAGTGCATGTGTGACCGCTATATCTTGTAGTCTTTCTCTTCTGCCCGATAAAGTGCACGCGCTTCCTATCATGTCGGATTCGCTTTTGATGATCGCAGATCATTATGTCGACTCCTTGGTCCCATACATATATAATGCCTCCTTAGAAGCTGTCTCCCCTTCTCTCCCCCACTGTCCCCCCAGGTCGTGTGTTGGGCCCTCCGGAAGCACTCAGCATCGACTAGACTCAAAGGATCCTCGTTGGGGCCGTTCTCAACTTCTCTTCCACAGCGACGCGCCTTGCGCACCGTTACTCCATTAATGTCCATCCTTCCGGCGGCCGCACGAATTTCCGATCCAATAATCGCGGTTCAGTGTCTCGGAGTCCCGCTGTGGAGTGTCTTACGAAATCTCGACCGGATCGACGCGCGCATGCGCAATTATAAACCATCCGCGAGCTGTCCTTCGTCACCGTCTCACCACGCCATGGCCCAGCCTGCCGCGTACAAGCCCTTATCTACTCACGACCCGGAGGACGTCGCACCTAGCAAGCCTCCCCGCTCGAAGCGCATCCTTCTCAACTTTGCCACCCTCGCGCGCATCGCAATCGTGATGGCGGTCGTATTCGCTGGCCTTAGAGTGTTCACGCGCAGGTCGAGCACGAAGCTCCGCGCACCGTGCCATGGGTTCCAGCGGAATCTGTCGTCTTTGCCTTCGCACTACACACTACCGTCTGGTGACAAGATCCCCGCGGTGGCACTTGGTATGAATGGGTGGTGGTGAAGGCATATTACGGAGCTGATGTGTGGCCGCAGGTGTATGGCAGGCGGACAAGGGCCTAGTTGGTGCGGCAGTCAAGACGGCCCTCAGCACTGGCTACCGGCACATTGATGGCGCTTGGATCTACCGAGTAAGTGCACGTTGATATCTACCTCGGGATTGCGTGATTCAACGACATCATTTGCTGCAGAATGAGGAGGAGGTAGGGCAAGCTATCAAGGAGAGTGGTGTCCCCCGCGAGCAGCTATGGATTACTTCGAAGGTGTGCATTGCTTGAGACTCCTTTCAAAGGTATGAACTGACCTTTCGCTAGCTATGGAACACCTTCCATGCGCCGGAGGATGTCGAAGCAGCCCTCGATGAAAGTCTCAAAATGCTCCAGACGGACTATCTTGACTTGTACCTCATGCACTGGTGAGCGGCGAGGATCGGTTCATGACATGCGAGTCGTTCATTGCCACGCTCAGGCCGATTGCATTCAAGAAGGGCACAACCACGCTCGACAGGGAGCTCACCGCCAACCCGTACCCGACCTGGAAAAAACTCGAGGAGTTGGTCGACAAGGGCAAGGTGCGCAACATCGGTGTGAGCAAGTGCGTACAGTCTATCTTCTCTCCGAATCACACGTCACTGACCCTCACCCGACAGCTTCAACATCCCCAGGTGAATCCCATAGGTAGACTACGCAACGAGTCCTAAATACTGACATACGTAAACCAGGCTGAAGAATCTCACCGCGAATCAGCTCAAGTACCCGCCCGCGGTGAACCAGGTTGAGCTCAACTTCTGGAACCCGCAGCCGGAGCTGCTCCAGTGGGCTAAGGAGAACGGCCTCCTCCTTGAGGCCTACTCGCCGCTCGGAAGCACACAGCAGGTCAATGCAACGCTCACGGCGCCTGAGGTGCAGGCAATCGCGAAGCAGCTTGGCATCACACCTGCGCAGGCGATAATCTCATGGCATGTCCAAAGAGGGGTATGTGTATTAGCGGGATATGCAGTGAAGGGTGCTGATGGTACATCTCGTATAGACCGTCGTGTTACCGAAGAGCGTGACGCCTTCGCGTGTTGAGGAGAACTTTAAAGGTACGTGCGCGTCGCACTTTCCTAGTCGCCTTACTTACGCTCGCATATTTAGTGTTCGCACTGCCCGATGACCTCTTCGAGCAGCTCGAGAAAGCTGCGATTTCGCACCCGCCGCATCGCGTTGTAAACCCGTCCAAAAGCTGGGGCATCGGTTTTGATGTCTTTGAAGACTACCCTCAGGTGTAAATGAATATGCTGGAGTGGATGTAGAACAGAATGTATGATAGGGCGGTGCGAACATCTGATACGAGAGGTTGTCGGTAACTGACACGGGAGAACATAAGCAAGAAAACAGGTCATGAAGGGACACACGAAGAAGACAGCGATATATATATACATTCGAAGCATGGACTCAACACAGACTGGTATCTAAAATTCCCCCAAGTTCGTTGCAGCCAGTGAATTCCCAAAGAAACGAGGAAATTGGCAAATGTCACAGTCCTCTGTCCGACCTGGCCTTGCTGACAAACAGGTCCTTCGACTTGATGAGTCGCGCGAACCAGTCGCCCAGGACAATGCCCCAGAGGATGTCAAAATAGCACGACCCCCCATTCTACCAAGCCGACAAAGTCAGTGTAACTCGGGCCATCCAACGAATTTAGCACCGACCTTCCCGAGAGGGATGACGATCAGCTCGGTGCTGCCATTGTACAACTTCGTCTGTGACTGTCCGATGAGGAAGCTGAGCACGTTCGGTGCGACGATGCCGACGTGGTTCCCGGCCTTAGCGGCCTGTTTCTGCTCTTCCCAGTCAACGATGTCGCCGACAGCGAAGACGCCCGGGTGGCCCTGCACCTCGAGCGTGGGCTTCACCTTGACGCAGCCATTTGCCGCGAGCACGTCCGACCCGAGAGAGGATATGAACGCTGTGTTGGCGTGCGCGCCGAAGGTTGGGATCTGCAGAATGCGTGAGCATGAGGGTAGCGCAGCCAGCGGGGCTGACACTCACAACTAGGTCCGCCTTGGGGAACTGTGTCCCGTTGCGTGTCGTAAAACCAATCTTTCCTGGCTCCGGGAGCTGATCGACATATTCCCCGAATGCGATGTTGATCCCGTGCGTGCGACAGCGGTACTCGATGTCCTTCCGGAACTTGGCGGGATAAACCGAGTTGAGCAGCATGCTATCGCTGTGCACGATCGTGATTTTCTTTTCCTGTGCGCGCTAAGCGTGAGCGTGAGCAGGAGGCACGGAGATATTTGGTACATACGGGGTAAATATCACGGATTTCGCCCGCGAACTCTGGAGAACGGTGTCAAGAGCGATTCGAGGATGATCTAGACACTACTAGCGCGACACGCACCTATGCCGACCGCACCACCGCCGATGAGGTAGATATCCTTCGCGTCCGCGATACGCTTCCGCCATTCATTGATATGCAAGCGCAGATCCGAGTCTGCTTCGGGGAACTGCAACGGGCCAGACCACTTGCTCCCTGTCGCGAGCACGAGTACCGCGTATGGGATACGTTCACCACTTTGCAGGACAACGCTCCCGCCCTGACCGGGGGCAATCTCCTCGATCGCGGCGACGCTGCCTTGGAGGAAGGTGCCGTTCCCGTTGACGAAAAGCTTGTCATAGGAGATGAGCACGCGGTCCTCGAGGCGGTCGACGTTGGAGGTCGTCATGCGCGCGCAGGCGATGAGGTTGATGATGTACGGGCGGTCGTTGATGAGGATGAGGTTGTACTTGGACGCGTCGAACTTGGAGGAGAGCTCGCGCGCGAGCTGGCTGCCGGCCAAGCCGCCGCCAACGACCACGACGTTCTTCTTGTCGTCAGCCTTCTTTGACATGGTGGAGAGGAATTGATGGTTGATGGCAGTCGTGCGACCATCGTGGACGCTTTATATGCGCGAGCGATCGCGGAATGTGCGCGCCTCGCGAGATGAGAAAGACGTGCCGTCTTCCACGTAAGTTGGATGACATGCGGATTTAAAACCATAAATCAGCACTTTGCCCCTCTTGCAGCAGATTCCGAGATTCGTTAGTCTTCTGGGCGGGCTGGGCCTCGCAATTGTGAGCTTTGAGGCGCTTCGAGACTGCGCATCTGGAGAAAACGGAGAGAGGTGATGAGAGGCAATCAAAATGCCTCTACTCGCTGTTCGGCAACGGCCGTTGTGCGGTTGCGAACCACGTAACGGTGTCACGCCTGTTATGGTTGACTTCCAAGTTCCGACTGGAATATCTCTTGATGCCTTCGAGTTGTATGTGAAAGCGTCGTCGACTCTGGAGTCTGAGATCTGAGCGCTGAGCGTTCCAAAGATCGGAATAATGGCTCACTGAAAATGAAGGGAGATTTTGACAAACTGTCTAATCTAATGAAGATTGATGTCCCATCATGTCTGCCATGCGTGTATGAACACGAGCTCCAGATGCAATGGCTTCTACAAACCTTGTGGCCTTTTATCTGAAACTTGTCCAAGCTTCGTGCACTGGCACCCTCGCGTATGTCCTGGATGTGAATCGACCTCAGCCACTCCACATCGTCCACATCGCCAATCTCAAGCATCAAGCATGAACTACGCTGTACAGTCTCAGCCACGGCGTCCCCGCCACAATGAGGGGATCAGAAATTTCACTGATGGGCTCTCGAGCATGCCTGTAGCATCTTTGAGCAGGCCTGTTGAGGTCGAAGGCCTGAACATAGCCATCGAACACTGTGAATACGTCGGTTCATACAACTGGCTCGACTTAAAGACACCATCTATCCTTGTCCCTGGTCAGTAATAGCAGCTACATTCAGTCGATGGCTACCTTGATGACGTCTTTGTTGTGTTGCAGGCTCTCCGCGAATGTGGCGGGACAAGGCCTTGCCTTTCGAGATCCCGCCCGATCAGGGAAGATTGCTAGTGTACGAGGACGGCTTCCGTATGCCCGCGTATCCGCGTCTTCCGATGCTCAAAGCGGTGGACGTGATGACGGAAGCGACAGGAAGACATCTCCGGTGGCCAGATATCGACTTCATCACCGACCGCAACTTTCTACGCAAGCTGTTACTCTGGGCCGGTGGGGGAGGATCGGGTCGTAACGATGCATTCCGGATAGACCTCCAGCTATTCGGAGAGCGCACTGTACTTCTCAACCGCTACGACGAAAGGACGTGGTTGAATATCAATCCGAAACAAGGTAGCTACGGGCGTAACTTCGAGGAGCACACGACTACAGCTGCTCCAGGATGTGAGCGGGGCGGTTCCCATAATAGAGTCGTCCAATATGTGAGCAACGATTCTAAAGTTCACTCAAGATCGAATCCTGATGCAGTCTTCGACTGCTAGAAGTTTGGCGGTTTATCCATGCTGGTTGTGTTCGAAGTGGACGCCTACCTCTCGCCCGAGAATGAGGCGTCGTCTTCGAATGCTCCGCCATCTTCTTCAGAGATCCCCGTGCAAAACCCCACCGCTCCTTCGAAATCTCCTCAGGAGCGCCGACAGAGATCGTCGCAGGAGCAATCTGAACTATCCGAGCCGACATTGAATATCATTCGTGCGGGCACAGAAGTGCCGCAGAGCTCGCTCATCGAGCTCAAAACTTCCATCAGACCCCTCTCAAAGAAGTGGAACAACGCCTATCCTCAGCTCCTCTTCTCCCAGACACCTCACATTTTCTTTGCCGAACACAAGAACGGCAAGTTCACATCGATGGCGCGACATCAGCTGGGTGCGCCAGATATGCAAGAGATCGACAGAGGCGCAGAGCCTCGCTTGAAGAAGCTGAGGAGTCTTCTTCGGGACATACAAGAGCTGGCTGTACGCGGTGGCAAGACAGGGCGCCTGACTTTGCTGCAGCGGAATGGGAAGATGGAGGTTTATGAGAGAACGAGCGATGCGAGTTTCTTACCCGAAAGTATATCGCAGCGATTCGATCCACTTTGAAAGGTATTTACATTGTATCCTGCCTAAATGTCCTTCACATCGCTGTCTGGGAGGGCTGGGAATATCTTCATGACAAGGATCTCGTTCGATGGCTGCTAGGTTGTAATGCTGGTTTCTGCGGCGGCCGTCAGCTGATACCACGCATTGCAAGCTTGCACATTGTTTCGTGCTGATACTGTTGAACGTACATCCGCGTTGGCTATGTGTACAATACTGACCACATTGTAACACGTCTATTCTCATCGATGATATTGATCGCGAACCCATGGAAGGATGAAACATGTGTGACTGCGAACTCTACCTCTACAAGACGCGCACGCGGTCTCACGCCAGGCCACGGCACCCCTCTCTTGAACGTAGACACATCAGGAAGACGCGACAATCACGGCAGACATGATGCGATTTAAAAATGTGAAAAATAGTGTGGGAATGTCGGCTGATGTTCTACACTTGTGATATTATCAGTGGCCCCACAATGCAATTGCAACCCTAATGCAATTCACGTCTTTCCCGTCTGAATAACGCGTTCAAAAATCCGAAAAATTCACGCAATTTACATGCAAGTATTACAGCCAAGGCTGTCTATTCAGATTTTTGACATTGCATGTTGCTAGCATATGGGACGAGTACTTACAGTGAAGAGCCCCATTTTGAAGCTTTCCCGAGGCTCGCTTGCTCGTACAGCTGAACGTGGTCTCATGAGGCTCTCAGGTAGATTTCATATATATGTGAACTCTATGTTGACAGAAGCTGACATATATTGCACGAGCCCTGTGTTCTCTGGGAGAAGTGTAAGGAGTGAGTGGCTGCCAGAACGAGAATCATACCCAAATAAGGAAGGTTTAGAAGGTCCATTTGAGCTGAGACTTGGGAGTGTCGGCGCTGCGTCCGCACGCCCGGTTCTGAATGACCGGTGAGGGGAGCGGAGGAGACGGAATTTTTGTAAGAGTAATAATATATATCATATATTTCTATTGCACGTGTCAGCGAAGACAGTGTTACAGTACATTTGTCGCAAGAGAATCAGGGCAAGTATACAACGTTAGAATAGTAGGCAGGAATATCGAGCTAAAATATAATGTACAATTTATAACATGGGCCGTGAGCGGGAGCGCAGTCCATATGGAAGGCAAACATGGGTGGACGGAAGTGTCATATGAACATGTTATCAGCGATCCCGATGTCCTCCTTGATTGATGGCTCTGGACCGGCGAAGAGTTTGCTGAGTGTGAGTAGCTCGAGGTGAGTTCGCCAGAGCTTCCAATCTCCGTCGTAAATGGCGTCGCCATTGGCGTTGCACTTGAAGCAGGTGATAATGCACTCAAGTACAACGACGTCGTTCTCGACGATACAGGCTGCGGGATGTCTTTCCATGTCTGCATGAGGGCTGAAGTGGGTTGTGCTGTCGAAACAGTTGTTGAATATGGCAGCCTGTGGGCACAGTGAGCGATGATCATGTGGAGGGTGCGATCGAATGTACGGATGCCTTCTGATCGCCCCTCGCTTTGTGTCCTTGATAATGCAATGGACGATTTCATCGAACACACGTACTGGACTGAGTGACAGTGGGCAGGAACTGTTCCCTTCACCATGGGATAAGCACTCCACCATCCCAACGGGCTTAAAATATGATGCTGAACCTGCTGATCCAGCTGTTGTGGTGAACACAGAATGAACTCGCTCATCGTGCGAGAACAAAACACGTCACATATATGCGTCTGAAGAGCGCAAACTACACTATCCAGCATACGATCGGTGCCTCAAAGCCCCATATCATGAAGATGCAGCAAAGCGACCAACGAGCGATAAGGCAGACGGTCAACGAGTAACGACATCGGTAGCTGACAGCGCCACCGACCGTGTGTAGGGGCAACGGATGAGACATGCTGCAACAGAAAGGAGCCACAATACAAAAAGCTACTTTCAATGGCAAAAGCGGATGGGTACGTTGGCAGCTCACCCACACTGAAAACATTGGAATGGCGAGAGGCAGCACCACAGGATGTAGAAGAATCACAGTTGATAAAGATGGACATGTAGGCAATAAGTCAGCCATTCGCACAGACAATCAATCACAGGCAAAACAGACGGCCAAGCGACAAACAGTGACTCACGGATGATAAATCAGTCCACAGAGCATATCGACAACGATCCAAGCAGAAGCAAGAAGCTCGATAGGAAAGATGTGCGTGAACGCTCGCCAGTGGAGGAAAAGTGCAAGCACACAGAGAAAGCAGCTGGAGGGGCAACAATGCGTGGTAGTGCATGAAAAGCGCTCATGGAGCATGAAAACTGGGGCAGTGATGTAGCCACAGGTGTCACGGCAGACATGGTGCGATTTATCAACGTAGAAAATTGTGTGTAAATGTTGACTGAATTCTTACACATGTGACAAATATTTGCAACCACGGCATTTCATGTCAAAAATGTTTCACTTTGGCTGCTAATGTGCACTATTTGCCATTTACATGCTACATTGGCAAACCTTTGCCACAAATGTAAAACATCAGCTGACATTCCCACACCATTTTTCGCACTGATAAATCGCATCATGTCTGCCGTGTGTGGGTAAGAAACAACGAGGTGGATGATTATGTAATTGCCCACCATGCAATAGTCACTAATAACCTGAATGACAGGTCATTTGGAAATGGCGAAGCTGTGTTGGAGAACATCCATTTTCAGTGGTGCCAGATCGGACTGTCAAAATGAAGATGTTCTCACACGGTGGCTGATGATTCTTGATAATTGCATTGGTGTTGCGACCGGAAGTCATCCTTGGATTCATCCACTTCACATCCTGTTCACTCACAAATATTTCTCAGTGTTCTCAAGACCCCAGTATTTCTAAGAATAAAATCTCCGAGGGGGTCTGCTCACTGACAGCAGAATAGGACGTGACACTCTGAAAAAATTGCATTAGTGGGCCAGTGATAGTAAAGGTTTGCCAATGAAGCATTTAAACGGCAAATAGCGCACATTTGCAGACAAAGAAAAACATTTTCGACATGAAATGCCATGGTTGCAAATATTTGTCACATGTGTAAGAAATCAGTCGACATTCACACACAATTTCTTACATTGATGAATCACATCATGTCTGTTGTGAATAGCAGTCAACAGAGCACAACACGAGATGTATAGTGACAATGGAAATTTGGCGCCACAACGGAACACTCCATTGTTTCATCATTTCTATAGTGCAACATATACTCAATGCATACAACGAAGGCTCTATAGCATGTAAGCACCACCTGGACCTCACATAATCGATGCCTAATTAGCCTGCCGCACCGGTGCTGTGCGTCAAGCTAACTAGCCCTGAATATCTGTCCGTCGTGCACTGCCAGAAGCGCTGCGACTATTGCACACCATTTCCTTATGAGGTAGCTCACAGATCGTCCTGATAAGCCCACCCATTGCAGATAACACTGCCGGTATTGTGGGTGGTCGGCAAAGTGTTCTGAGATTATCTCGCCAGTAGTGTTACTCTGATCGACACACTCCACATGCCACCTGAGGACCGAAGCATTGAGCTTGCTGTCCTCCCCTCATATATATCTCATTTTTCATTGTTTTTCCTGTGACCTTTTCCAGATAGAGATATGGCACTTCCCCAATGTACTCCGATGCAACCCGAGCACCATTGATATGCTGCCCAGCGACTGACACATCGCGCTCGCTGTCGACGACGTTCCCCCCTTGTATATCAGTCATTCTCACTAGATTTTTTCATGCTCTTACTCAGTATGAAGTTTGCCACATGTTCAAGCAAATCTCCACCTGATGCCATCACCGCTCACCTGTCACTGAGTGACTGACACATTGCACTTGCTGTCCCTGACAGCAACAATGTCCCCCCCCATATATAAGTCATTCTCAGTATATATTTCTGTGCTCTTGCTCAGTATAAAGCCTGCTGCATGCATTTACAATGCCTCTGCTGCAATATCACTGGTAATCTCATGCAGGTTCTCAATCTCATTCAGTGCATGGCCACCTCATCTTCCCTTCCATGACCCTTTCTTCTTTTCCTTGTCTGAGCGCTTTTTGCAGGGCTTCCTGGGTGCCGAGATCACTGATCCATCAGCAGCGGTGATGATATTGATAAAATCTTTGAATGGTTGAGCACCTCAGCTGCCGCCTGTCCCACCATGATGTGTTGAAACCTCAGAGTTCATAGTTGAAGTAGATGTGGGATCCACTGGAAATGCAGCGAAGGATGTGGCACTATTGTGGACTGACTCAGGCACCATCTCTGGGAAATATGTGGGCACCAAAGTGCACGTACTGTTTATTGCATCAGAGGAAACTTGAACGATGGTGGAGCCAGCTGTGTTGGAAGACTCATCCACATCCATCTGTGCCATTGCTCCATGGAATCATTCATTAGTCCACTTCTCAAATTCTTTGTCCTCCATCTTCTCGAAGTGTGTTGTGCCATTTTGCCAGGCTGCAAGCAGAATCCGAATCTCATTGTGAGAGCCTAGGTCACCCGAAGCACAGAACTTGCTCAGTGGTCATCTGACAATCTTGATGTGGTATTTCTCTGTGATGCTTCGCTTGAAATTCTGGTATGATATGTGTGCAACCTTCCCCCCTGCTGCTTTCTCTGCATGTTGATGTAAGTTTGTGGTTACTTTCGCAGTTGATGTCACACTTACCAAGCTTCAGGTGAATGAGTTGTGCAATTTCCTTCTTTAAGTTCAACGTACCCTGTGCATAGTCATTGACAACACCTGATCTCGCAGCATGTCAATCCACTGGACAGCATGAGAATGGAGGTGGTGATCTCATGAACCTTCAGTGCCTGAGATGAGGAAGGCCTCAAGGTGCATGGAGAAGTCTGTGACAGTATTTTTGATTGTGAGCTCGAAGTAGTCGCTACAGTTGTAGACGAGGAGAAACAATCTGAAGTTTTGTCCTCTACATGCTGGTCTTATATACATGTACAGGTGCTGACTATTATGGGACATGCTATTGGCTGTCTATGTGTCTATGCAACTAAACTATACA